TTTCCCAGTGACAAGGCCGCATATTAAGTCACCAAGCTTTTCTCTGCCAGATGCACAGTATACTTGCCCTGTATGACAGCGCCCTGTACTAGTTCACACCACACACACACACGCACACACACACACACAGACACAGACACACACACACACACACACACACACACACACACACTGTACACTGCTGTTGGCTGCAGACAAATCTCCACTGTGTAGCCACCATGGTCGTGTCATTATCAGCAGTTCTTGTGAAAGGTGAGTTAATCATCAACCTGAGGCCCTGAAATGAGTTTGGTGGTTGTTTGTGCTGATGGATGGCTGCTTGTCCATTTGATGTACCCACTGGGATCTATGCTGTCAAAGAGCACAGCAGGACATTCAGCAGCTTAAACTTAATTTTCCAACACTAACAGTAACTGGTGCCATCTGAGGGCAAAGTGGAGTCTAAATGCAAAGTGAATCAAGTTTGATCCATAGTGTTGTGTAGGGTAGTGTAGTGATACTGAGTGAGCTTGTGGCTTCTGCACATGTTGCTTTTTTGAGGTTAGAAGAGAACAAATCAATATTCCATAGGGTATTTCTACGTAAATGACATGGCTGAATGACTATGCAAAATACTTGCTCTAGGGGCAAGGTCTCGCTCTTTGATTTGAAAGAACTGATAAAGAACTCTGACGTTTACATTGATGCTTCAGATAGCTGAAAATAAATATTCTATTACAGTCAGCCCTAGCTGCTGGAAATATCTCCCTGTGATGTCATGTCATCTATATTTGGCCAGCTATCCAGACAAATGCATCACCACACAACAACAGTGACTCAAAAATGTGAGGGACATTCTTAATAATGCTCAGTACGTGTATGAAACAGAGTCAGCATCAGGTCATAATAACCAAAGCCATGCATGGCCTTTAAGGAGAGCTCTATCTGGCTTTAAGCTAAATATTGTACTGCAGTTAGGTAATGCTACCTCAGACAAACTGTGAGAGTGTTTGATCATATCAAACACTTCCTAACAGCTCAGACTGAGTTGCACATGTGTGACTGTATGGGTTTTGTGGATAAAAATCAGAACTCCACAGATTTTTCCTCATGCTGCATCGTCAGTCAGCTCTAATGCATCTGAAAGTGAACCTGCCTCCACCAGTGCAAGTCTATCCACACTGCTGACATCATATGAGTTTGTAAACAAGAATAATGGGAGTGAAATCATGACAGTCAAATCAAAGGTCAGCTCTTCTCTGAGTATAAATAAGAGGGTCTGTCATTTCAATCCTATCACATTAGGAAACCGCAACTCAAGTGCAAATTAAGTACGTGTGACACCTAGGCAAAACGCCTGATGAACTGCAGACCACAACAGACCACTGTTTGAAACCAACAAACAACAACACTGGTTATATTTTGGCGAATCATTGCTGTGTTTCCAGCGGCTTTTCAGCAGCAAACATGGTTGGTTTTAAGGGACCTGTTGCTGTTTTTCCAGCGAGGATAGTGCCATGAAAACTAGGTATTTTTTAGCCAAAACATGATCTTTTCCTAACCATAACCAAGTAGTGTTTGTGCCTAACCCTAACCACATTTTAACCACAGTGTTGTTGAAACGGAAAGCCTCAACGCATGTGCTACATAATAACATACAGTGTAACATAAACATATCCATGCTTTGCAGAAAATACCATCAGTGTTTGTGGCGAGTGGGTTGTAAATGGATTGTGGACCACTGAATGAAAAATGAGAACTGACATGAAGGTTTAACCAGGTATGATGACATGATATTTTGCCTAAGGCATTATTTTATGACATCTACAAGCTCATCTACTCAGTGTGCATCCCACTGGCAGGATGAAGACTGGATGAAGGCTCTATATAAATTACTTAATAACGGGTTTGGTCTTCACTGTCATTGCAGTGTTACGGTAGCAGTGGACACAACTAAAGCCCTGACTGGCTCCATCTCCGCTGGACTGCTCATTACTTAATGGGAAAGATACTTAAGGCAGCAGACTGGGGGGTATGAAAGCTGGCTAATCTGTATAACTGGCAGTGATAAGCTCCCAAGGGGGGCTAGGCTAGGCTAGCAGGGTTAGTAGTGGCCAGGCTGGGCTCAGACTGTCTGAGAGGGACTGTATTACTGCAGGTGTGTTACTGTGTGAGAGCTCCACGCTTTGAAATAACCTTCTTGCCTCCATCCTCACCTGAATCCCACTGAACTCAAGACACAGCATTTCAGGCTTCATAAATACGAAAAGGACATTCTGCGTTTCAAGTAAAGGACTACACCTATCAGGATTGAGCTCATGTAGCCGACACTATGACATATTTTTCAGAGCATGACAACACAAATCCCCCACACACTAGACACTGACTCAAGCTTTAGAAAAGCAGCAGCATTCCTTTTCATGGTTAGAGGCAGAAAGTACTGCCGCTATTTTTACCACGTTCCTAACCCACACACGCAGCTTCTTTTCTAAGTCACAGCTCTTACGACTTGCAGAGAAACAGCACGTAAGGTCTGCTGTATGTTTTCTGGCTGAGAATTTGAGAAACAAGCAGGGCCTGAGCATTTTGCTGCCTTCAGGGAGGCCTGCGGGATGATGGCCTCACTCAGTGGACCGAAATAATGATTCTGCAGGGGCTAGGACGTTATGATAAACACCACGTCTGAGCAAAGCTGCGGCCCAGAACATCTTGTCTTCGTCCTTATGAGATAACAAACACTAATTCACAGCAGACAGTCTGTTTGGGCTTGGCAGGCTACAGCACTTTTGCTGCTAAAGATAGCACTGCTTTAAAGCTGCAGACTCTTGGCAGGTACATCACATATATTCCAGAAGCCATGTCTGGTTTTATAATGCACATACAATACATAAAACCAAGCTACATATGAGAGACACCTGAAAACATTTTAAAAAGTCTGATAAACAGGATTTGTTTCCAAGTTAAGATCACAGTGCCACAATTAGCTGTGCTGTTTTTCCACACTCTGCAGAATGCTGTGGCTGTCAGTCATAACTGCAGGCCCTCTGTGGTCGACCTGTTGGTTCTCGTTTACTCATGAAGGCTATGTGACCAGTCAGTGTTTGCACACTTGTGCTCTTGCATAGCATTTATGATTGGTGTTTGTCTAATCATGCACTTGCAAGAAAGTTTGTCCAATAACATGCACAAGCCACATCACAAGCCATACTCCAGTAAAACACTCAAAACCAAACAAACATGTGACAACACACCAGGACTGGGTGGTATGGAGAAAATTTAAAAAATCATGATATTTTTGCCCAAATACCTCGACATCAATACTGCAACAGAATATGGGGGGGACTACAGTGCCTTCACAAAATACTGGTATGATGAGAATTTGATAAATAATCATCAGTAATGTGGATTTAATGACTAAAAGGGCAATAGCAAATAATAGAACAGTCTGGGAAGTTCAGAAAATGACATCACTTTACATCGCTGTAATGCAGCCTTTAAAACCAGGAAAAGGCAATACTTAATCAATAATCAGTATCAATATAATATTGATATATTGCCCAGCCCTACAACTATAGAGCTGGGTATTGCTAAAAAAGTACAATACCAGTACCAATACAAGTTCCAATACAAGTGATACTGATACCAACAGAGTACATCATTTGATACCCATCATGTGAATGGAAGCATTCAGTTGCGTAAAATACCACCAGATGCCACAGTTCTGTAGTATAACCATACTTTAAAACGTTTTAGTGGCATGTTGGCACATTGACCTGCCAACTCAGTCAAATACACCATGCATGACTTCACCACACCACAGACTGTGTTGGTTAGCTGCTGCAGCAGTGGGCCAATTTTAGAAAAAAAATTAAGACACTGGGGGCGGCACGGTGGTGTGGTGGTTAGCACTCTCGCCTCACAGCAAGAGGGTTGCCGGTTCGATCCCGGGCGTGGGAGCCCTTCTGTGCGGAGTTTGCATGTTCTCCAGCGTGGGTTTTCTCCGGGCACTCCGGCTTCCTCCCACAGTCCAAAGACATGCAGATCGGGGACTAGGTTAATTGGTAACTCTAAATTGTCCATTGTCCATAGGTCACATAGGTGTCACATAGGTGTGAATGGTTGTCTGTCTCTATGTGTCAGCCCTGCGATAGTCTGGCGACCTGTCCAGGGTGTACCTTGCCTCTCGCCCGATGTCAGCTGGGATAGGCTCCAGCCCCCCCGCGACCCTCAAGAGGATGAAGCGGTTAGAAGATGAATGAATGAATGAATTAAGACACTACAGAAGTCTTGCACTACTGTAGAAGGCTTTGAAATGAGATCGTGATCAGCTGTTCAGCCAAGAACAAGAAACAGCAGCTTAAAATCAATATGCTGGCACACTACTACACTATAAAATAGTTAAGAGTTGCTAGCATGGATATTTCTCCTGGTAAGAAATTCTCTGAATAAACTCAAATGTTGTCAAGATTCTTGCTCTGGAGATCCTGGTTCAGTATGGTCAACCACACACGCCTCGTTTCTTCAGACAATTCTTTGGACTATTCTCAAAGAATTGTAATAACTTCTGCAGTAATTGACCATTTTCAGTGACAATAATCTGAATTAGTTGAAAGTTAGTTGTGTTTACGTTCAATATCTGGCTGACTTCCAGATTGATGGCATGCCATGAAAATGCACTATTGAGTGGAAGTTCTCTGTGAGTTAATAACTACAAGCAACTCCTTTCATAAAACACAGTCACTTGATTCAATGTTAATATAAAAAATGGATTATTGCAGCTTCAACCCTTCATAGACCACATAGGCCAGCAAACAAGTTAATGTTATCTAAATACAAATTCAATCCAATTTATTAGTGCTGACTCTGAGACGTCCACTTCACAGAGAAATAGAGCACAGAAATTAACCATGACACTTCATTTACAGTATGTTGACACAACAGTGATACACCACTGACAGGGCTATCAGAGGGTTTGTTACTTCATGTGGAAACACAAGAGAAAGCAGGGAAAGCAGTCTGACCTGTCACAGAGGTGGTTCACTGCGCCGAAGGAGTCGCAGGCACAGGACAGGCAGCCGCTGGTGCCATTAGTGAAGTGTCCCTCCTCACAGTCCTCACACTGTAGACCGGTGTAGCCTGACAGACACAAACACTGCCCAGTGCTCGGAACACACTCGTCTGGATCCAAAATCCCCTCACCACCACTGCTGCAGTTACAAAGACCCTCTGGGTGGATGAATGGGGGCATCACAGTGAAAGGGGGAGACAGGAAATGGGAAATACTGCATGAGATGCACTTGTTGTGATACAAACTGAACAAAATATGGATCATACATACATTTTCTTTCTTTATAAACCGTAGCCCTTTTTACACAGAGATTGTGCTACAAAGTCCCCTCTTTATGCTGCCTTTGCATTTATACACAGAATCAAATGATGGCAGCATCATGCTGCTCCAATGTGTGATTTAGACAACATGCCGGCATCACTGAAGCAAAACAGGCAGGATGGGCGTGACATGTAACACAACAGCGTTGGCCTCTAGTGTGACATATAACATATGTGTCAGCAGCACTTTATAAACAATAACAATGGCATTGACATGGCAATAACAATCATTTGCCGTCCCCGTTATATGGCAGCTGATCTCATCCTCTGCTCAGAGGGTAAGGAGCCCTCTGACCTCATCGCTTTCCCAATTTGCTAACATTTTTGGAGACTGTTCTTCTTCTTTCAGTTAGCCAATAACTGCTGCTTTTTAAATCTTCCACAGTGGGTCACACCCATAAAACGTCATCAAAACATCACACCCCTCCTGTCCATGATCCCGCCCTAACGGCTGTCCCTTTTACACAGACATTGTTTTGGCTCTGTTATTACCTCCGCTGCCTATAGGCGAGACAACTCTGCCCCCCCCATTCTGGGATTGTACCGTTTATACAGAACAGCAAGGCGGCATAACAGTGAAATTCCCGCCTTGAAGAAGCAGTGTGCCACTGGTAGTGTAATTGTGTAATTGTAGTATTGTAAGTCTGTAACCTACCTCACTAAATGGAAATCAAAACAGAGATTAAAATTTGTTTGTAGAATATTTTGTCAATCATATTGATTGTAAATTACTTGTATATTTAAAATACTCTACAACCCTATTTGGTAGTCATGTAGCCGATGCATGTGGGATTAGTGTATTCTGCAAATGGCTACGCTGTGCAACAGAGAAAAAGAAAAAGAGGTACATATTCCTTATTTATTTACTTAATGTTTATTTGTATCGGGATAAGTATGCACTATAAAAAAAAGTTATCACACACTACAGCATTTATAACCCTAATTTTGCAACATCTGTCATTACATCCTCTGGTCTCTTAATGGGGAACACCACCCAAATTAAAATTTCCAACATATTATTTCCATGGCTTAGAAAAGTTCAATCAATATTAGTGATCATGAGCTACTCTCTCTCAGAACCAGAGCCCAGAGAAAGAACTCTCAAACATGTGATGGCACAGAGCATCTAGAGCTGCTCCATTGATGATGAATAGGAGGCAGATTTCGTTGACCCACAGAGCGTTCTCCTCTTTTAATACCCAAATTAGCTTTATTGTATTCTACTGTTCTCAGTTCTGAAACAGAAAATGTAGCCATATACTCAGAACAACTTCCTGGGTGCTCTCTCTCTCAGTGTCATCTAGAACAGTAGTTCCCAATTGGTGGGTTGCGGCCCAAAAGTGGGTCATGGGTCCATTCTGAATGAACCACAAGTGACTCACAAGTCTGTCAAGTAAAAACACACTTTATTTTTGAATATACTGACTTTCCGTCACAGAGCTTTTATTTTGAAGTGTCGTTTCCTGCTGTAGACTGACTGACTAACAGACAGCTACTTAACAGAAACAGCAAACAAGCTCAACAACATGGCCAAATGTATATTTGACACTGAATAGATAAAACTGTTTGGACCTTGAACTACACAACCCAATTACCACCTGTTTGACCTCCTGCCCTCAGGGAGGTGATACAGATGCATCAAATCAAGGACAAATAGACTCAAAAACAGCTTCTTCCCCAAAGCCATAACCCTGTTGAACCCTGTTGTTGTTTTTTTCTGTTTCTTATCTGTGTTTTAATGCACCCTTCAAGGCATTGCCTCTAATTTCATTGCACAACTTGTATAATGTCAATAAATTTGATTCTGATCCTGATTCTGAATAACTAAGGAGAAATCAGGACCCCATGGCTGGACCAACTGGGAACCACTGCTCTGGAACATCTTTCACCATTCATTGTCTATGGCGCTGCTCCAGACTTTATAACCAATGACATCACAAAATTGAGATTTAGCACTCTAGTTTTTGGATTTGGGGGAGAGTTGCTTATATTTTTGGACTGTCTTACACCATAGGAATAACATGTATGAATTTTGAAAATGGCTGTAGCTCCCTTTAAAGCACAGCATTTTGAACTGAACGAAGTCCATTGGCAACACAGCTGGACTCAGTTTATCAGGTTTACCGTCTTTGTTTTAGACCAACATGAAGCTCCATGAGGTGAATTCATCATAAACAAAAAAGACATCAAATTGTATAAAACTGACCTGATGCCAATGTGGTCTTTTTGAAAGCATTAATGGTATTAGAGAAGCAGGCTAATTACTGGAAAGGATGTTTTTGTTTTTTGTTTTTTTTTTTCAATTAAAACCATCCAACAGGTAGTATTACAGCTCAGTATTATTTTCCAGTTACATCCTACTTGATGTTCATACAGTTAGATGTGGTCACATTAGAATCAACCTATGTGAATAATGTCACTTCAACTGAAGCCTGTATGCCTAAACATACACCTGACTGATTCATGACAGTGTTTCCTGTTTGGGTGTGATCTCCAGACCAGTCTTCCTTTGCCCTTTGAAATTTGCACAATAGAAAAAGCGATGCACTGTGTTTGAAAATGGAGAAGTCATTATGCTTCTCTTTAGAACCAAATCACACTACCAGACCAGTTGAGTGAAGGGAAATTTCATTGGCCAGTGCGATAGTGTGACCATACCAAGAGACAGTAACAGTGGGAGCTGTCCTGCCCAACTGGCCTTCCACCATCACTCACTTAATCTGCCAGGTCCATTCACGGTTCTTGCATCATCGGCCCATTGGAGATGCCGAGTACAACGTGAGAGTTCTAAATTCACTTTCCCTGTCCATATTCCTCTCGCCAGTCGCTGCATTAAAAAAAGCGGCCATCTCAGTCATGAGCCTGCTTTGATAAATGATCATGATAAATGCATTTCAAAAGACCACATCAGACATCAGGTCCGTTTCATACAACTTAATGTTGTTTTTGTGTATGATCAATGCACCTGATGCCAGTCAAAAACAAATATGGTAAACCAGATAAAGTACTGCTGTGGATTTTGTTCAGTTTAAGCTGGCGCACTTTAAGAAACCAGAGGATAAAATGACAGACGTCGATGACCCTGCAGAGCACAGAGTGGCAATCTATTATTTATCTGATCTCAGCTTAGGTGTGGCGAGAGACGACTGAATGCCTGAATATATGTCTCCATTCTGTGCTCAGCAGTCAGACAAAGAAGACTGACAGACAGAAAAGCGCTGTGAAAGCAAAATAAAACAGTTTTTTTTTCATACAAAATATGCACACAATACCTCAGCTAGCAGTAAGATAAAGAGAAAAGGACAGCTGAATTTTAATGTATTCTTGTCCTGGCGTCCCACTCAGATTATGCTCCTCTCTTCCACTGGTGCTTTGGATTTTTATGTAACTAACAATGGCCTATGGTTACACAAGCCTTTGGAGTATACTGTCAGGCCCTTTGCTACAGTGAGGTCCACTGAGGAACTGTCGGCCCTGATCACGCCTGAGAATGTGTGAGATCCAGTGAATGCATATCACCTCACACACTGCAGTCAGGCTTCCTCTAGGTGTGGGACAGAGGCCCTGTGGGGTGATCTGGAGAGCCACACAACAGGTTTGATGTATATTGGAGTGGATCTGTGTGTAGTGGAGAGAGAAGGGGGGGAAACTGAGGTTCACCTCTCTCTTATCTATCTGACTGCTGTAAAGTGGTGTGACGGCATGGCTGGTATTCAGACACAGGCAGTGGCAGGCTGCTCAGAACAAGTCATGTCTCAAAACTCTTCTCTTGGCCAATTCACTGCTTGTCTGTCTGTGCTGCTACATGGAAAACAACAGCGGTGGGAGGGGCCCCTGCTTAGAAACAATTGCTGTACTTTCAATTTTGGTTTGGGCCTCAAACCACATTATCAGCTTTCAGAAATTACTGGCAGATGTTTCAAAGGAAGGGAAGCCTTAACTATGAGAGAAAATGTTCGATTCAATTGCCTTGAGATACCTTATATCTGTCTGCAGGGCCCCTGCCCTGCCAGAGAATGTATGTCGGTAGCTGGGCGTTAACCCAGGTGACGCCTTTGTTTACGTGATATTATCATGCAAGTGGCCTTTGCACTAGAACAATACGGAGTGCTGAGATTCCTGGAGATGCTTTCAGTAAGGTATAGCGAAGCTTTTATGTATGACCTCACACAAGGGTGCAGATTTCGTTTTGACTTCAGGATCCAAATGAACGCCATAAACAATACTGACTGATTTACATGGGGAGCTGCCTAAACACATCACCATTTTAGCTCAACTCATCTGCAGTTCTGACCCGCAATACATAGACTAATATAAATATGAAGATTAACACGAGGGCTGTGTCCCTTTTTTCTCGTTTGGTCAATAAAATGTCCAGAACTGGTGGAAAATGGTCAACACAATTTCCTAAAGTCCAGTGTTGGTTCAACACCCAAACATATTCACTTTACTGTCAGATAGGACAAATAAAAGCAGCACATCTTCACAACTGGGAAGATGGAAACAACAAATGCTGGGCATTTTTGCAAGAAAAAATAAATACTTAAATGCTTAATCAGAACAAACGACACTGTTCAGAAGAATGTCAGCACCAAATAAGATACATCATTAAAATCTATTCACAAACATCACACCTGACTTTAAAACTATTCCATTAGCATCTGGATATATTTAACCAGCCACCCAATGCACATTTTAAGCTACTGGGATATGGGGATCAGTCACAAACCTGGCTGTGCTTCATTCTTTTTAACATTCGTCCCAGCCATTTATGACTGCAACATATCAAAAACTACCCCTCTTTTTATCACTGAGATTAATGTTGACAGTATGTATGTATGTATGTATGTATGTATGTATGTATGAGTGTGAAGAAAAAAAGGTCAATGTAAAAATTATGACTGGACTGGGGGCCATTTTTATTTTAAATCCTTATTTTTGACATCTAATACATATAGCTATGGAATAATTAAAACGCTCCACCTCATAAAAGCAAAGGGGAACATCCTCTTATGTGTTCTGACATCCACACCTTTGCCTTCAGAAGACTTTCCCAACAATTAAAGAACCATTTTGGACAGGATCCTTCAGCCTGAGCTCCTGTGCTTGCTGGAGAACAACACATCCACATGGATACTGGGAAGTGTGAGGTGTGAGAGGAGGGGCTCCGCTGTCATTGCTCATTCATGGCTTTGCCTGCCTGGCCATTTTGGTTGGACGGCCTTGTTCTGTGGATGCGCCGTACAAACAACAATGGAGAGGCTGAAGCAGCTATTTGAGCAGCTTCTTGGAATTTCCTGACGATATCAAAAATGTGTGGTTTAACACAAAAAGGACCGCGGATCTGGGTGGGTGCTATGTGCACTTACGGTTTGGAGAAAATGACTGAACAACAGGATCAACCTTGCACCCCCTCATTGCCCCCCTTCCCCTGCTTACTGTAATATGTGGCACACTCACCCTATAATAAAAACCCTCTGGATTATTATACGGGCCACGTAGAAAATGCATAATGAAAGAATTGTGCGTTAAATGTGTTTTCTATGAGAACAGAATGTAGTGATTTCCCGATTATTTGAAGGGGTACACGGTGCAGTCTGAGGGGTCTGCCCATTGTTGCAATCTGGTTTATTCGGTCGTTCTCTGCGTCAAAACCACCATGCGACCAGTCTGCTACTTCTGGCAGCCTAAATTAGACACAGATGTCTTCTTCTTCACATACTCGTTTTATGAACATGACTGTGCTAAAAAAAATCATGCAACCCACCATTTTCCCCGTCAGTTTTGTAACGCGTCTTTCTAAAAAGCAAAAAAAAAAAAACCCAACAAACTGAGCTATTTTATTCGACAGTAACATTACTCACCTTGACTATTCTCTACTGAGGTAACAGATGTGCCAATATTATCTGCTGCCAAGGCATCGTTTGCTGTGCGCTGGGAGACCATGGACACCATGGTCTGCAGTATTTTCTCCGGAGTAAAAAGTGATGTTTGTGCATCGGTGGATCTTTTGCGTGCGCCGGTTGATTTGGAACTCGGCGCTGTTATTTGTTCTTTAGTGGCTGAAATTATTCCAGTAGCGGGGGTGTTGGTAGCAGTGTAGGTGGTGGTGGGGTCCGTTGTAGGGAACTGGAAGGTGGTTGCAGTTTTAGAAATAGAGCTAGTAGTGGTGCTTGGGCCGGCAGAAACAATGGCAGGCGAAGGTGTGAATCCGGTGAGAGGCCCGAGAGCTAACCTGCTCTCGGACAAAGTACGAGGCATGTCGGTGTGAAAGGTCTCCCAGGTGTCGGAGGCTGAGCCGGGCTTCCTGGAGATAGGCGACGCATCGTAGGGACTGATGCGAGGTGCAGCTTGAGAAAATCCAATATATACATACAAAATAAATAGCAGGAGCGGAGATATGTACATCATTAAGGACGTTAGCCTCATATCCAGTTTCAGCTCTCCATGTAAGCCCCAGTAGTGGTCTCTCTCAGACCTTTCCCTGAATGGACGCGTACTCCACCATTGATGTCCCCGGCGGCGTACGCTGCTGTTTGTTGCCCTATGAACCACAGTCAACACTTCATCTGCTCTGCAACCTACCATGAGCCGCCCGAGACTGACATACGCGTAAACCAATGGGAGGCCTGGAAGACTACACCCTAGTCGTTCGTTTATTCGCTGGTAGGGTAGCCGCTGTAACACCCTATGAAGCACAATATAGCTAGGCCTATTGTAAATTATCAGAAGTCCTCATTCCTCTGAAAATGATCAAAACATAGGCTAATCGGTTTCATTCATAAACCGATCAACTGGATGAAGCAGGTTTTGTAAGGATAGTGTGCGTAAAAATAGAATTTCACAGTGTGTGATTGAGCCGCAGCCCAGGTATCCTCCTCAGTGTGGAAATGCCCGGTGGCAGCCTGTTGTGGGATTTATTTCTTTATAGTGAGAGGCCGATAATCATTTCTCACCTGTATCTGTATAAAGCCATCCTGCAATCAGTCGTTTAGAAAAGTAATCTAAATTAGGCTATAAATAAATAAATACGCGTTCTTCTTCTCCCTCTCTGCTTTGTCTTCCTTCCTACGGATTATTTCATCCTTTTTTGTTTGTTTTGTTGTTTTTGTTTTCTGTAAACCGCCTTTGAGTACCCAGAAAAGTACTGTATCTATCTAATGTATTAATCTAATGTATATTTTATTTTATTTTATTTTTAAATTAATAGCCTATATTTATTTCATTTTGCCTTATTTTTTATAGCCTAGATGTCTTTTTTGACTTTCCATGACAAGGGCAAAAATACCATAGTAAATGTAATGAAAATGACCGCCACCCAAGCCCCTTCCTCAAAAGCTTTGGTATATTGGTGCATAACATAAACATAGTTGGCCTAAGAGAAATGAAATGAAAATTTAAAAAAATAAAATAAAACCAAGTATTGCAAAAATCGAGAGAGATAAATATGGAACAGAATGAAGTTATAATAAAAAAAATATGAAACCAATACTTAAAAAATATGTACAAATAAAAATTCTGTGCAGTTCTTAGAAATGGTAGTTAGTGCAGAAATTTAACAGAGGAATGTGCAGAGGTTCAGAGCTATCATCCTGAAACTGTAGGGTGAACTCAGGTAATTGCATCTCTTTTTGGTAGATTTCCAAGAAAACCACACAATACTTTGATGACATGTTCAGGTAAAGTGGGATGACTGGTAAGATAAAATGGGACAGTCATGTTTGTTTTTTTTAAATCAATTTATTACTTCAGTCATTAATCCATTAAATCATTCATGTAAGCCGTGGCTACTTTAAAAGACTGTCCAACTTTTCTGCCACTCTGTCCCTGTTCTTTTGCTGCCTGTTTTCTTGGTGCCATGGTCTACGATGGACGTGTGTTTAACAATAATGGCTTATTCTGGACTGGCTGACATAGACTCACACTATCATCTTTAATATTTTTAAGTGACAAAAACACTAAAAATTTCTGTGATATGACAGGGTGGTGCACAATCACATAACTTTTATGGCAGCTGGTGGCCTAAAAATATGCTGGTGTCATTTCAGAAAAATTCCCCATTTTAGCTTAGTTTTTTTTTGTCCCATTTTGCCTGAATACATACACAAGTAGCCTACTTACTCAAAACTACGGAGCGCCTTAAAGGTCAAGTTGGGAGATTTTTTTGGACTGACTTTTGCGTCCCCTCGCAATACTTTTGCGTCCTCTCGCAATAGTTTTGCATTCCCTCGCAATATAGTTTTGCATTCCCCTTTAATAACGTTTTGGATTCCCATGAGCCACCACTGTCACTTCCTCTAAGATGCCCGCATTGATCGGTGACCAACATAAACTTGTATAAAGCTGGCGAGATCTCCTTTTAAACTGTAGTGTTGTTATTATTGTCTTTCATGCGTTGTAAGTAGCCTACTTAATTAGGTTCGGGAACCGGCACTGTGCCGGTTCTGTGTCAGTTGAAATGCGCTATTTGTGACTCCGGGCCCAACTCTGCCACTGATTGGCCAGTCTGACATTCTTCATAATGCATAAAGAACATTAGTGAAACACATAGGCCTAACAGAAATGTGTTTGTTTGGGGACAAGTTAGTGGTCACAATACTCATTCCACAGGCGAAGGACCCCGGACACGTACAGTAAATACACCGTTTGTAAGTAACTTTTAACATACGTGAGTTTTTGTGACTCTTGGCTCTTGTCCCCTAACTAACGCTTGTTTCTGTTTCACTAACAATATTTTCACACGATAAGTCACATCACCTTATTTCCCGTTATTTCCTCTGTAAACCTAACGTTACAGCAGCCTACAAGCATGCTGTGTCAATAAATCAGCTCAGACACTGTTAGAAATCATTTAGCCTAATAACATCATGCTAGGGTGGCATGGTGATGTGGTGGTTACTGGTTAGCACTCTCGCCTCACAGCAAGAGGGTTGCCGGTTTGATCCCGGGTGTGGGAGCCCTTCTGTGCTGAGTTTGCATGTTCTCCCCATGTCAGCGTGGGTTCTCTCCGGGCAGTCCGGCTTCCTCCCACAGTCCAAAGACATGCAGATTGGGGATTAGGTTAATTGATAACTCTAAATTGTCCGTAGGTGTGAATGTGAGTGTGAATGGTTGTTTGTCTCTATGTGTCAGCCCTGCGATAGTCTGGTGACCTGTCCAGTGTGTACCCTGCCTCTTGCCTGATGTCAGCTGGGATAGGCTCCAGCCCCCCCGCGACCCTCAAGAGGATGAAGCGATTAGAAGATGAATGAACATCATGCTACAGCAGTAATAACATCAGCTTTAGTCAAACGGCTCTAGCTCTCCCGGTAAATGTCATAAACTCTAGACACATTTTCCCTGTATGTTGACATGATAATGGCCACGTTTCCCAGATCGCTCTTAGCGCTAAGAGCTTCTTAAGAACTCTCTTAAGCCTCCCGTGAAAGAAAAATGCATTTCCCAGATCGCTCTTAGCTTAAGAAGATCTTTCACTAAGTTGTAACATCGAGCTGACCCACTCTTCCCAAGTCTTCTTAGCGACCAAACGCTTACAGATCCAGCCGCAGCAGGCACATTAATATTACACTAAGCAAGGAGATGTTAAAACAGTGTGCACCGTATATATTTTGATCTATTTTATACTTCAGATTTATATTGTTTAGCATTAATTGGTGACAGAAAAGAACGAATTTCATTCTGCAGGGAAACACGTGTCCTTACTGTGCATATGACAATAAACACTTTGGGTCATTCTACGAAAATGGTGGCTTTTTGAACAGCAATTTTGACTTTCATTTCTATTATTTTTTTCAATCCAAAAGTTAATAACAGTAATAGTTAACCCCTTAAAGATTATAAATCAACACAAATGACAGCTTAATGTATTTTTATATTTTTACTACATTACATTAAGTAATGCTTGTTCTCTTTTTTTGTCACTGGTGTTACCTATGTTTTAGATGATAATTCAGGCTTTAAAGAATGTAATTTGACTATTTAATTTGCACATATAATCAAAGACAGAAAAGGTGAATAATATAATTAAGAAATTGTTTTGATAAGTATTAATATACTTTTAACACTTACGTGTACAGTTCTATTTTATGACATTTTTCCATTACTACCATTCTTTTTTTAATGTAATATTAGAAATACTGGACACTCAGTCCTCAAACTTGAAATAGCATGCACTTAAAATTTTTACTAATGAATGTAATAACAGTTAGGTAGATACCAAAAACATATTTAAATTAATTGGGCAACTCTGATACCAGAACACCAATATGGCATACAGTAACACCAGTGACAGAATGTTAAGGAATGATAAAACAAAAGATTGTTTGAAACAAATATGATCAATTTATTCAGAATATTTTCACTTTACATATTACAACACAAGTTCATTTGATATGATGAGCTCATGTTAATTCAAGGTGAATGATAAAATGACGGTTATTGGTCAAAGATTTTGACCAGAAGTTGACCGCTAAAAATGTGCTTCATAACACAAGCATTATAATGGCTAAAGTATACTTGCTGCACTAAACGCGTGCAGTTTTCATGCACGTTTGGCTGCCACGCGTATTTTGCGGTCGTTTGGCGCGTAGACTGCACACTTTGCTGCGAGGTAGCGTTACGCGTACGCGAGATGCAATATTGACATGAACACTAGAGGCGCTCGTGCGAAGTATACCTAGAGACTGTGAACGTGAGGTCGGAGGTCATCACAATGGCGGTGAATAATTTACATACCATCTCCGATGGTGGCGGAGACAATGCCTTTTCCTCTGCCGAGATCTTAACAGCAATAAAATTATGATCTCCTCTTCATCGAGTGTCCATGTTTGTGTTTATCCGGAAATACTCTCACCTCCTTCTTCGCTTTTTGCGACCTCTGTGTCTGAGTGCTACGGTCTGCCCCTAGCGGAGACCACCAATTTCGACGTTTTGGCTGCATTGACGAATGTCCATGCCGCAGCAAGTATACCCACAGGTGCAGCACAAATCTATGATGTGCGCAAAGCACATCACGCGTAAGATGCGTACTGTATTTACAGCGTGTGCACGTCTGTCTGTCACCATTGGAGAAATGTTGTTAAGTCTCCACACACACGCGCGTTCGCATTGTTGATTCTAAGCAACCGGAAGTTTATCTGCATCACGCACACCAGTCCGCATGCATGAACGCCTCATGTAGTTTCCTTTTTCATTTTATTATATAGTCATTGAATTATAGTTGACCGGGAAAGATGATTGAAAAATCATCAAACTATAGTTGACCAGGGGATCATCGCATTGTGGGGAGACCAGCTATCAGACTGCATAATGTTTAGACTGTAATCCTAGCACCCTACCCTGTGAGCTAACTCTGCTCTCTGTGGTAATGGTACAACAAATATTTCATGCAAATACTTTCTTCCACAATACTAAAAAAACTGTATCTAGGCTACTAACTTTGTGTCCGCGTTTTTCCAATTACATCTAATAATACTTTTTTTTTTTTTTTTTTAAAACTATAATTATATATGTCTATATAGTGTATTATTGGCTCGATGGCACCATCTACTGGATGAAAATGGAACACAGAAATAGAATGAAATGGAAAGGAAACTATGTGAGGCGTTCATGCATGCGGACTGGTGTGCACGATGCAGATAAACTACCGGTTGCGTAGTATCAAAAAATGTGAACACGCGTGTGTGTGAACACAATTTCTCCAACAGTGATGTGCACACACTTTAAGTACAATACGCATCTTCTGGTTAGGCATGAAATACAATCCGCATGTAACAACGCATGTGCACACGCACGTGTACCAAAATGTACTATGTTAATCATGCATGCACACACACGTTGCTGTGCGTGTGTCTGCTTATTTTGATATGGATAGGACTTCAAAGTGGTATGAGTATGTGTGATGTGTGTGTGCTTGTGCCACACAGTCAGGTGTTCCTCCAAGTACTTCCAGATACAGTGGCAAATTCCAAAAGATCTTTTCGTCACTGGCAGTTTTTTTTGCCATATCTATAAAAAGGAAAGCCATGTGGTTACAATATTGAAACAACAATAAAATGCTTTGGAAGGAAAAAAAGTGAGTACAGTGTTCTGTATTGTCACTGGTGTTACCCTCATGTCACTGGTGTTACTAACTGGAACAGTAACACCAGTGACAGTAACACCAGTGACAAATCTGCAGACAAGATGGTGTATCTAAGATGGTGGCCACTCAAGGTCAAATCACATTTCTTAAATCATAAATAAATCACACAATCATGCAATTTCATCAATTATTGTAATCAAATTCCCTTTCCCCTGACTATAAACTGTATAACACCAGTGACAGATCTTAATTCCTCACAGAAAATAACTACTTAAAGCACAAAATTGTTAAAATGTGAAGAGGAACTGAAGACTCACCTTGCACCTGAAAGATGGCCACTCCTCCAATGAATCTTTGAACCAGGAAGAAGTTGGAAAAGAAGTTGTAGTTTTTCCAAGGTGGTGGTTTTTAAATACGGTAACACCAGTGACATGAAATCAAGGGACAGCTATTTATTGTAAATTATTTATAATATTAATACTTTTTTTTAGATTTTTAAAGTAGTCTGCTGACTAACTATAACATATTCCTTTTGTATTATGACATTTAAATGGGAGAAAATCATGTATTTTAATTCTAAAAATGTCACTAAATCATGACTCCTTACCCGAGGGACAAGCAAATTTAATGGCACTGATAATATTCAACAATATAATAAAAAAAAAGATTTGCAATATATCTGTCTTATTTGTCATTTATTAACAATGAAACACTTACATTAAAACAAAGCATGTATATTTTGTGTCATTTTCTGAGACTTTTGGGTGTTTTTCCTGGGGAATAAGGAGGGGACAGGAAAGCCACCATTTTCATAGAACGACCCCTTTGAATCTTCAATCTACATGTTTTATGAAGACCCTGTGTGCGCTCAAAGCTGTGGCACAAGTTACGCACCGAAATCTGGTGGAAGAAAAATAATGATAGGACGAAAAATAAGTAGCCTATGAGGAATAACAAGTGTGTTCCTGTATGTGCTGTGCACATCAGGCACACAAATAAAATGAATCATCATGACTATCATTTATCATAATTTGTCCGCACATATCCCACATCTGCATACACATATGAGATCGTTTACTGCATCCAAAAAATGCGTCAGGCCACAACAGAAACATATCCATCCTCCAAATCTGCGACATTCAGGGGCTGTCCACACCAACCCGGGTATTTATAAAACCGTGACTCTTTGCTCACGGTTTGGCCTTTCATCCACATGTAGGCTAACCGCAGTTTTGGGCCCCTGTAACCGGAGTTATTTGTAACCGGAGTCCAGGGTGAACTTTTTGGAAAAGTCCGGTGTCAGCAGTCATGTGTGGACAGGACAACCGGAGTTATTTTGTCTCGTCTCCATTGTATGACGTCACAGTGTGCGACGTAAACAGAAAAAAGCTGTGTCAATAGGTTCGTTCGAGATGAGCCAGTCCTGCGCAGATTAGATCACCGGCGATCGGCGCACAATGCATGCCGGTTAGTTTTGTGTCCGACTTCATCCCGACTTGCTCTGACGTATTACAAAAGTGGACGGTGATAAAACCGCGAGAGCGAGGCGGCCGCAGTTTTTATAGCCAGGCGCTGCAGTTGCTCTCCACAGACTGCACCGCCTGGCTCTCACCTGATCTAACAGCTGATTGGTTCAGATGCCGACTCAACAAGATGACGTTTTAGATAAACTACTCATTTTTGTTGAATTCTAGAGATTAAGATTGTATTTGTCTGACCTGAAGGTTTATTCTGTGAACAGAAAACATGTTGTATGACTGATGGTGAAAACAAACTGATATGGGTCTGATCACTTTTTTAATGAACTGACATCATTCCAGACAGGATGTAAGTGTGTCTGCGACTTCCTGTACGGACTGAAGGCTGCTGGAAACTGTCGGGAAACTGTCCGACTTCACCGCAGCTTTTTGTCACCGCCCCCGGCTGCGGCCGCCTGCTCTCGTCTACTTTTCAGGCGAGGCGCAGTTCATCTCGAACGAGCCTATTACCCGATTCAGTGTGTGCGAGGATGGACCTAAACATTTTTGGATTTTTGTTGGGAGGGGCAGGGGAAGCACGCACACTTATTAATGATTAAGGATTTGATTTGAAGTTATTTTATAATAACATGCAGTTATAAGAGAACTAGAATGGATGAACACGGCATCTTTATTGTTAAGAAAATGAAACTTTGATAACTAAATCAAGCGAGAAATTATGCATAATAAATGAAGACAGTGACATATTTTCAATAAAAAAACAATGAGTTGAACGTTCATTTCAAGCTTTTGTAGTACAGCGAATTTCAGAATTGTGCGAGTGCGGACGGAGAGTGGGCGGCAGTGTTTGATGCAGGAAACTCGATATGGACTTGAAAATCAATTTCAGAGTAGGGGTGTTTCGGAATGGAGGGCTGTCCCCTGTTGGGACATTGTGCATGCACAGCCCTTCACCACCTGGATCCTAAAATAAACACCTGTTTTATTACATAGGCTAATCATTCCGTGTTGCGCCATTCATTAAGATCCTATATTTCATTCATTCAAGAATTGTGGTTTAATACTCTTAATTATAACAGCCAACTTATTGAAAAATGTCGGGTTTAAATCGGGCTCGGGCCCATAATTACAGTTAATTGGACAAGCCGGGCCGGGAGGGGGTCCGGTAATTACGTTTTACTGCCTTCTGATTGGCTACAATGGCCTTACAGTTAGGAGTTATATCGCCACCTATTGCTTTGGCATGTGTATTACATCGCGTGATCGTGGAATTTGCGGCAAATTCCACGATCACATTTTTATTACACCGCTCATATGGACGCAGATTTTTTTTAAAAACTGGAGGCCAAAAATGTTCGGTTTTAAAAATACCCATGCTCATGTGGACTAGGCCTCAGATATCAGGCAACTGACAGGTGTAATTGAGCTCAGCTGGAACCTATGGCAAGCCGTTTTAACATAAGTTTGACTATCCGGAACCACCATTATAGATATCTATAACGTCATGTTGACTAGTAGTAATGTCATTGTGACTAGTATGAATTTTAATTTAAGATATCTGTAATGTCATTCTGACTAGTCAAAACTGAATTACAGATATCTGTAATGTCATTCTGACTAGTCAAAACTGAATGACAGATATCTGTAACGTCATTTTGACTAGTCAAAACTGAATGATAGATATCTATAACGTCATTCTGACTAGTCAAAACTGAATCAAAAAGTCAAACCCCATACACATGAATGGCAAAAATAGTTTGAATCTTACTAGTCAAAACTGAATTACAGATATCTGTAACTGTAGTTTTGACTAGTCAGAATGACATTATAGATATCTGTAATTCAGTTTTGACTAGTCAGAATGACGTCATAGATATCTGTAATTCAGTTTTGACTAGTCAGAATGACATGACAGATATCTTAAATTCAAATTCATACTAGTCACAATGACATTACTACTAGTCAAAATGACGTTATAGATATCTATAATGGTAATTCCGGATAGTCGGACTTAGTGATTAAATGTTAAAACGGCTTGCCATACACTGTCCTCCAGTGGTCACAGTGTATAATGACACCTTTGTCTCGTTTTCAGTGATTATTTTAAAAGTGTTCATTGGAAAATTTGGTATGCTATCTTCTATTTTTTTTCTATTTAACCTTATAAATCTCCTGATGTAGCTCTCGGTCGTTCTGATGCGGGGCAATGGTTGGCATCTGGCTTCATATCACTGTAGGCTACACTGCTGTAAGGTGGCCACAATGTGAAACTGCGTCTCTGTTTAATGTAATTATTTGAATTTATTTATTCAACAGCAGAATTATTTCTTCTTTAGTTGTTTCCTTTTATTTTTAGCCCTTACCTGATTAAATTTTGCTTTTATTTCACGTTGCTCTTTAAGTCAAATCTGCATTACAAGTATTTCCAAAAGAGCAGTGGTTACTCACTATGAACATCGCTAGGAACACACAAGATTACAAGTATAGGCTACAGTACTGATAACTGGCCGACTCCACGCCACAAGCATAAAGTAGACACAATATCACGGTAAAACTAAAATAATATGCTACTTCCGCAGCAGACATAATTGTAATATTTATTATCGAGGGAAAAGTAAAAGACGGCCTTGTATATTCATTCTATTTGTGGTTTTGATTTAAAAGTTGCAGTTTCGTTTTCAATAGTTTGCTGTCGTAAATTAAAAATATAAACGGACTGAGCTGTCTTCGTTCAACTAGACGGTAGGTGGCAGTAGCGGGTGAAGAACAGCTGTGGAGCTGCTCAGTTGTTGCAGGAAGTTGCGCAGACGACTGGCCAGGCACCATGGCGCCCCTAGACTTGGATAAATATGCAGAGATTGCAAAACAGTGTAAATACCTCCCAGAAAATGACCTCAAGGTAAGTGTGACTTTATAGCAATTATTTTGATTGACACATGTGATAAGCTTATAATAGTAGCGGTAGCTCGCTACTGTCTTATGCTGTAACAGCGTAATTAACTGTTAGCTAACGTTAGCTAGCTAAGTTAGTTATGTTAGCATGTTGAGTTAATCTTAGCCAGGAAGTCAAAACCGCTAAAAGAAACCGTACAGCGTAGCTACGTTTGCTCAGTACAAGTCCAGCTATCCTGTAAACTGTTATCGAAGCAGAAATGCGAGTGCTCTGCCCTTGTAACGTTATGCTATTATCTGCTGACAAGATATCCACAGTGAGCTAGCTAATGATGCTGACTGACTGTCATGATGGTGGGATGACAGCCGATCGTTTATTACCAGTGTGGTGCTTCTAGAATTGACCCAAACAGCCACACAGGGAGTTTTCTCATATATGGGAAGGCAGTGACATACCTGGTAGACCGCTGGGTCGTGGACAAACTACACAAATTATTAAATAAGTCGTATTTAGCCTAATTCCTGTGTTTCGGATTTACTTGCGACCATGTTAACTGGCGACTTTCAGCCGAATGCGTCTGTGGTTGTCGTAGTGACAACAGTTGTTTTCAACCAGGAAGAGAGTACGTAGCTGTCCTCATGAATGCCTCTGTTCAGTATTACATTACAATATTAAAACATAGCCAATCTGATTTATCTTTGGACTCTTGTTAGAGGAAACCAGTCATGCACTTACACTTAGTCACGTTTTGAATCGCACTTGTGACGGAATGTTGAAAACAGGAAGAGAGCAAGTTGCTTTTCCTGTATTTTTAACCCATGTCTCTGAAAAAAAAATCAAATCAGGCCCACACATTTTCGCCCTTGGTACTTGTTTCAATAAACGTGCCATATTAAAGAACGGTTAAGTCCTTTGAAACGTGAAAAGGAGAACATTTTGACGGGATTCGAGCTCACTCCGTTATGGGAAAATGAATGAAATACGCATGACTGTCTTAGTGCACCACTATCCTGACAACTGCCAACGGCCATACACCCTAAAAATCCGACAGCCCAGTCAACTATGTCTTAAAATGGGAGGCAGCCAGATCAACTTGTGACCACACTGTCCATGCACTTACGAACATTTTAGTATTTCAGTGGTTTCCTATACAAAAGGCAGCTGTTGAAACCCAGGTAATTCATAAAGGTAAAATTGATTGTAGTGCTACAGATCAATAAAGCCAGTATTTATGTAATCATGTGGAAATAGTTTATTAAAAAAAAACAAAAAAAAAAAAACAGCAGCTCTATAACAGATTTATCTCAAAGATAAATTATCTCTTTATGTTGTAGCCTTCAGGCAATAAAAGGCATACATAAACACTGGACTATGTATATGGTATGGTCAAAGCGTTTTAGAGTTCTATGCAATCCACCCACCTGATCTCACATCACACTGTTGTATCTCAGGAAGTTTTGGGAATAATGCACTTCTCCTTTATGCCGAAATAATTCATCCTAGATGTTAACATTTTTGTTAGTAAGCAGGCTACCGTTAACTTGTTTGTCCAGTTTTTGAACAGAGTTTGTTGATTAATTTTCCCCTTTCATCACACAGCATTTGATAGTGTAGTCAGTACTATCGCAAAGTGGGATAATGGGTTAAGTGTGACAGTTAAGCTTAATCATTTTTTCTTTACGTGTATATACCTCCATTCCTAAAAGTCAGCACACATAAGCAAATATGTGATTGAAAAAAGTAACATGGCTGTGACATCACTTCCAGGGGCATGACACGCTATATTTACAACATTGCAGTGAACTGCAATGGAAAGTAAAATGCCACAGTGTTCTGAGGTGAATAATGGTAAGGTTATAAACATCGAAGAACAACTTATGGATAGTTTGTAATTGTTTCATATTTTATTTCTTTTGTCATGTAAGCAAGTGTGAAGAAGTCTTTTTTGGCCACAGGGCACTTTATGGACCCAGAAGTTGTAATTCCACTGTTTGGCCATTATGAAAATTGGTTTTTGGGGCCTGGTACTAGCCCAGCAGTAAACTGGCAACATGTCAGGATGCTTCTTGAAATTTCTTGGGCACATCAATGCTCCCAAAGTGAAAGTTTAGATTTTTGTCAAAAACATACAATTATTGATTTTTAAAATTAGCACAGGCCTCTCAGTCATATAAAAATAATAACTCCTCAGTGTATTTATACTTAAAGGAGAAAAAACTCTTAGTTTTGATGATGCTAAAGCCTTTCCCCCCATCACCCTGCTAGAGCAACTAGGCCTTGGCAGAGGGCTTGCATTAGTATAACCTGAAAACCCTGCAGTAAAGTTTGTTTTTCTTTGGATTAATTTACTTCATCAAAAGATGTGTAACATAATTACATAATTTTAGTTGTTTCATTGCCACTGGACAGGTATAGGGGGTCACCCTGCCATAAAGAGCTGGTTGCCTTAAAATAATCTTACTAGTCTGGACTCACAGGAGGACAAAGGAAACAGTGTTTCAGGGGCTTTTCCCTGACAAGGAGAAGATTTTGGGGAAAACGTTGAATACCTATAATTCTGTCATTAAACGTTATCCCATTTAAATGCATGAACTATCAGTGCTGAATGATGACTGAATCCTCATTGCTTATTTCTACGTATTCTATGTTTTCATATACAGAGGTTGTGTGACTATGTGTGTGACCTTCTGCTGGAGGAGTCCAACGTTCAGCCCGTTTCCACTCCTGTGACAGTATGTGGTGACATACATGGACAGGTAGAAACAATTATGTATTGTTGAACATAGTCTGTAGTTTACATTAGCATGTGAGATCTCTATTTACGATGGGGTTTTGATTTTGATCTGTTGTACACATAAAATGTAATACCTCTACTAAATTAGTATCTCTTTGTGCCTCAGTTTTATGATCTGTGTGAACTCTTCCGAACTGGTGGCCAGGTTCCAGACACAAACTACATATTTATGGTTTGTACATTGAAATCAGTTAAACTTGAAAGACAGTTCTGTTTAACTGCTGTTATGGCAAAGGGTTGTTAATAAAGCTCTGTCTTCAGGGTGACTTTGTTGACCGAGGATATTACAGTTTGGAGACGTTCACCTACCTGTTGGTGCTGAAAGCCAAATGGCCCGACCGCATCACACTTCTTCGTGGGAACCATGAGAGCAGACAGATCACCCAAGTTTACGGCTTTTATGGTGAGATTTGACTGATGGCAGATGGTGATCAGTTTTTGGCCAGCTGCACACTGAATTTTCACCAATCTCAAATCCTGGACAGTATCACACCTTTCCATTTGAAGTAAGTAACTAAGTGCTTTTTTGTCTTACAGATGAGTGCCAGACCAAGTATGGGAATGCAAACGCTTGGCGTTACTGCACCAAAGTGTTTGATATGTTAACGGTTGCAGCTGTAAGTACTGACGTGTTACTGTACCGGGTGGCTGGGTGATATGGAGAAAATCAAGTATTACAATGCTTTTGACCAAATACCTCAATATCAATATTGCAGGGTTGACTAGTGGTGCGTTCACAAAATATTTAAAAAAAGAAACATTTGATAAATAATCATCAGTAATGCTGATATGAAGACTAACTGGGTAAAGGCAAGTAATACAACAGCTAGAACAGCCTGGTGTTGACAAATGACATCACCTTACTGTAATGCAGCCTTTTAAACAAGGAAAAGACAACACTCACAATATTACAATATCCAAAATCTAAGATGATGTCTAGTCTCATATCCTCATATATTGCCCAGCCCTAGTGTTTTGTGTTTATTTGTTTTGTTTTTTTCTTCAAAAGTGACAAAATAAATGACGTTCAAATCCTGTAATGAGGCTCATGTTTAGTTATTTAAGCAGCTGAACTACATGCGCATCAGCTTTTAGTTATTGAAATGTTATGATACATTTTGAAATGAGGTTCTTTCCCTAGTCCTAAAGGCTGTATTGCATAATATGATGCTGTTATCTGAGCTGCTTTAGGTGAAAGAAATGAATAGTCTCTGCTTGCTGCTCAACCATCTTTTTACATTACTGTTTTTTAGAAACTAATATATTGTTTAGATTCAGCCTTGACTCAGATTCGCATCATGCCCTAACTCTTCTATTTTGTGTTATTTTTTGTCAGCTGATGGACGAGCAGATCCTGTGTGTCCATGGAGGCCTCTCCCCAGACATTAAAACTCTCGATCAAATTCGAACCATTGAGCGGAACCAGGAGATCCCCCACAAAGGAGCATTTTGTGATCTGGTGTGGTCAGACCCTGAAGACGTGGACACCTGGGCCATCAGCCCCAGAGGAGCCGGCTGGCTCTTTGGTGCAAAGGTCACTAATGAGGTAGGTTGCCTTTACTTTGATTGAGTTACGTGAATACACATGCACACTAAGGTTAAACTGTGTACTGTATTTATGAAAGTAACAAGGAATTCAATTATTAAAGTCCAGAGAATCTAGAAGGAGCAAATACGTACCTGTGCTGCTTTATTTTATTTTATTTTATTTTTATTTTTATTTTACAATGGAGTCACAGAAGAAAGTGCAAGGCAGAAAAAATGTATTTCTGTGAAACTACAAAAGGTAACATTGTCAAAGCCCATTTACCTACACAATGTTAGGGTATTTATTTGCACACCTTTCTGAAAAATATATCAGTGAATAAAATCAGTGCATACAACTTGAATTTTCACTCCACTAAATTATGGCATTTATTGTATTTACCCCAAAGTAGATTTTGTCTGTCCTAATGCACATGCAGTAACATATATTAAGCCAGTTACAACAAGCAATGTTACTCATGACAACAACAGCTATGTGGTAGTGGTAGTGTACAATAATAGTGGGTCACTGCATTGTTAATGTCTTGCTGTAGCAGGTGCTCCTTAATAAAGCTCATAAACACACTCAGATATTGGCACTTGAGACTAGGGCTGCACGATATTGGGAAAAATTGACAGCGGCGCGCCACGCTGCTGTTTTTTTCTTTTCTTTTTTTTTTTTTTTTCGTCTTAGCTCTTTAGAAACTACCGTTATATTATTTGGTGCTACGGATGCTTCTTCATAACCAGGTCAATTCACACACTTGAGAGTGAAGCATATAAGAGGAGAGGAAAGGGCTCCGTCTTATCTCTTCATAAACTAAAGTTATATTATTTTGTGCGACGGACACTTCATATAATAACATAAAATTATACTATTTATCGTGTTATACGGTGAAAAGTTTCACCTTATAACGTGATGACTTATATTGTTTACACGATGGCATGTCATTTCTGTCTCTACATGGTCGTGCCTTTACAATTCTCCTCTGCTCTCTTTATTGTGCACGGCGAAGTTAGGCCCCAATATGCGCGCGCATACACACACACGAACATGTGCACACGTGCGCACACACACACACACACACACACACACACACACACACACACACAGGTGAGCACACTAGAGTGCGGCTCGGGCCGCATTTTCCCGAGTCCGAGACACTTATAACTGAGCCAGGCCCGAACCCAGCACTGTGCACACAGTCAATGGAGCGGAGCCTGTGTTGCGTTCAGGCGTTGACACATAAATAACAAATTCCAGCACTCGAATAGGCAGTTTATTCTTTATTCCACTAAATTAGACACATTTTGTTGGTCAGTCATTAAAACGGAAGCGAGTTTTACGCGCATCACTCGGCAATTCAAACGTGCATGCTTAATTTAATTAGGGCAAGCCACATAAATGTTGCACACGTGTGCATCGCGATGGTGATGCTTAAAAGATATATCGTTCAGGCCTACTTGAGACCCAGTAAAATGACATGTTCGGGTACATCTCGTAGATGTTTACACTCCACAAATGTACACAGATACTGGCTTGAGCTTATTTCCATGATAAAAACTCAGCTGTTGGTTTGTTACAGCTTCTGTCGTTGGATTCTATGGCTGTAGACTACATTCATCTATTCAGGCCAAGGCTACAGAGCCTTTTGATGGTGACAGCAGACCAGTTTCTCTCCTGTCCACTGATACATAGTTAATAGGTCCAGGTGATACTGGAGTGCCATTTTGGGAAGACTTCTCTGATTCAGTGGCCTTTTGCAAAGTGTTGTCTGTTTGTGGGTCCACAAACAGACTGTTTGTGCACATATCGGCATGTTTGGTTGGGGTGTGATTTATTCTTGTATATCCCCACAAAATCCCATTAAAAAACCTTGTTAAAAAGAAAGCAAGAGAAAACAGTGAGTTAGAGAGAGGGGCAAGCATAAAAGTGAAACTTAACGGAAACCGAGACAGGTTTAGTTGGTCTGTGTTTTACTTTATTACTTACTAGAATAAAAGATAAAAATGTCAAACTAAGCAACACTCAGGTTATGTCTACACAGCAGATTTCATGCACTACTGTATGCCGAAATGTCTGCAGTGACTGAATCTGCAACCACATTAGAAATATCAACAAGTTGATTTGTCTGTCACTCACAACAGCAGGGTATTCATCACCTCTGCCATGTAAGTATTTGGGCTATCTGCCTCCCTGCCTCTGGGACTGGAATAGCCCAGTCAAAATGGCTAGTGAGAGGCCACTGTTCATACAAAATTTAGCGTGTGTACACAGGTTTTTAAAACATGGGTAATCCTGCTAACAATAGGCTCTAGACTCCTTTCCCATTGCCTGTAGGCCAGAGCTGTGCACATGGCTCTGCAGCAGACAAGTATGGTAGACAGTAGACAGCAGCATGGAGGAAAGAAAACTTAATTTGACGTTTGTCATTTGACCCGGGTCTGAATGCCGATAAAAAACACTCCCACTGCATTAAAAAGCCAGACATTAGCGAGTGTTAGTGGGATTTTTGTGCAGTGGGAAAGAGGCTTAAAGGGATAGTGCACCCAAAAATGAAAATTCAGCCATTATCTACTCACCCTCATGCTGAGGAAGGCTCTGGTGAAGTTTTAGAGTCCTCACATCCTTTGCGGAGATCTGCGGGGGGAGCGGCTAGCACAACTAATGGCAGACGGCGCCCCAGACTAACGTCCACGAGCACAAAATTGAATCCACAAAGTATCTCCAACATGCTCATCCGTAGTGATCCAAGTGTGCTGAAGCCCCGACATAAAAAGTTGTTTCGAAAAACATCATATGAACTCTGTTTGTAGCCTCGCTGTAGCCTGTAGCTATCAGCGAGACCAGCGAAAGCATGAGCTTTGCTTACCTGTGTTTACATCATGTGACACGTGCACTGCAGGGGGAGACAACGGTAACCACAGTAGCTAAAGGATAATTTGCACTACGGTCTTTTAGCAAAGGACAGCCCAACATGTCTGAAGACTTTGAAATTGAGGAGGAACAGCATTTCTTTGTTGAGCCGTATTTGTTTGAGCCCGAGTATACGCACGGAACTCAGGCTACTGGACGAAGCAGCCTCCACAGCTCATGAGCCTAACCTTCAGCCAGCCGCAGAATACCAGAGTCGAGCACTGGAAACCTGGTGGTGTAGTTGTTTCAAATGCAAAGCAATGCCAACGGATGAGGAAAGTCTTTGCTGCTCAGACTGGGAATTGGTGATGCCTGCACTTGAGAATCTGGACATCAGTACTGACGAGACTGCTGCTCTTCAGAGACCATGCATCACTGATCACCCTGAGCGCGCACACGTGAGCGCGGAGCACAGAGAAGCAGTCAGAGCTAGATAATGGCTGAATTTTCATTTTTGGGTGCACTATCCCTTTAAGGCTTGTTATTTCATATTGTGCAAAATGTTAAAGGGCCTTAAATAAATGACAACCCTGGGCTGCCTGCATCAATGGAGCTGTGTATTTGACACTGTTAATATAAAATAGAATTTATTATGGGTCATCAGTTTCACATTAATCACTTGCAAGGATTCTTTTCCATGTAGACATTACAAATTGTAACTTAAGAGAGGATTCATCAGCGTCTTCTCAACCACATAGAGAGTGCTCTGTTCACCTGTTTGGTATCATCTAGTATGAACTGTCACAGACTGGCTGGGTGATGAAATTGGAAACTGTTACTGATTAGGTTACTGATGAAATGATCAGTTGCAGGTGTATGTATACATATATATATATATACACTATCTCCTTATAATCAGGTAGGTAGACCTTAATGGCAAAAGACATGAAAAACTAATATTGGAACTTTTATTAAAAACTTGCAAAGGCATTTGCAGTGAATTCTGATATATATATTTTTTGGTAGCCAAACCTCATCCTGCAGTGATACACATTTTGCTTTGGGGGCACCTTTGAAAATATTGTACTCCCTGGAAGTAGAAACTGCTTTGAGCCACACTTTCATTTTCCTCTTGTTGCTGTTTGTGACTGCCAAGAATGATTGCAATTCAGTAATGAAAACTGCTTTGTGGCTTCTCTCTGTAATGTAAGAATATTTTCTAGATTCCATAAAGAACCTAAGTGTCCAGCCTCAGCCTTACAAGCATAGAGGATTTCTTCCATCTGGTTGCCAATGTGGCTACAGGTCAACTGGTGTTGACAGTGCAATTATATAATAGCTACTGAAAAATGAGTAATAATTGCTGTCTTTTTTTCGTTAATTATATATTCATAGATAGAATTTCACTTAGTATGACACATGCAAGTTAATGTGACATGAACAAAGCAATTGTTTACTGATGTTAATTTATGTACCTCTGTGCATTAAAGTTCTTAAGATACAGACAGCTGCCTCTTACTGACCTTTGGAATCACCAAAGGAAGTAAGAGGCGATGTGTATTCACACTGGCGGTGTTTTTATGCCTTAGCACTGGTGATAGCCATGGCCGGAGGCATTGTGTTTTCAGGTTGTTCATCCCATTCTTGTTCAATATCTCAACAACACCTTGAGGGAACTTTTCAAATTTGGCATAAATGTCCACTTGGACTCAAGGATGAACTGATTAGTTTTTGGTGGTCATAAGTCGAAGGTCAAAGTCATTGTGACCTTGTCTGTCTTATTCTCGTGAACATGATATCTCAAGAACACCTTGAGGGATTTTCTTCAGATTTGGCACAAACATCTACTTGGACTCAAGGATGAACTGATAAGTCAAAGGTCAAGGTTACTGGGACTGGGATAACAAAATATGTGTTTGGCCATAACTCTACATAACACTAAAAATGACAAAATTTGACACAGATGATGAAGTGATCACATTTTATATCTAAAAGGTCAACTTCTCTATGACATCATAATGTTGTGCAAAAGTACTTTCCTGGCCATTACTCACCACCATCGGTTAGGAACATAAGGGGAGACATTTGGTCAGATACTAACTTGGTGAGTCTAATCTTGGGTGTCCACCTTAAAACTGTGCTGATTGTATAGTGTCTGTGCTGTCAGGGGGAAGATGTGGGTGAAACATTCGTGTTCACAGACATGGACATAAACGGTAACTGCAACTTCAGGGTTTGTAGAGACATACAACTGCAAAGAGGTAATTCTAGTTAGTTTTTTTAACATATTTTTTGCTTTCTCCCTGTCTTTTGTTTGTTTCTTTCTTCCAAACTACAGTTTGTTCACATCAACAACCTGAAGCTGATCTGCAGGGCGCATCAGCTCGTCCATGAAGGCTACAAGTTCATGTTTGATGAGAAGCTGGTCACAGTGTGGTCAGCACCTAACTACTGCTATCGCTGCGGCAACATCGCCTCCATTATGGTCTTCAAAGACGCGAACACAAGAGAGCCAAAGCTCTTCAGGGCAGTGCCTGACTCTGAGAGGGTTATTCCACCACGAACGACAACACCTTATTTCCTGTAAGCACATAAAAACCAAAACCGTGCAGCCATTTGTTCACTGCACAGATGGTGACTGCGACAGTGGCATCAGCACTTGTGAACCCATATGAATTTTGTATTGTACATTTAGAGTATTTGCAGTGCATATATTGGTGCCAACTGTTGTTCCCACTTTGGCATTTAATGCCATTATTCTGCAGCTAAGATCACACTGAGATATTACAGCTGTGTAAGTTGGCTAAACAGTATGGCTGTGCTGTTGAAGTGTTTGAAGGAATGATTGAAACAACACAGAAGTCAGCTAACCCTTGTAAAATGTTCATATTTATAAATCTCAATTTTACTTTACTATAGAAACTCACTCTGCTGAGCAATTTGCAGGTGCAGTGTTATATACAACATTTCATTTATTTTGTTATGGTGATATGTGAAAGCTAGGTGTAACATAATAAAGCACTGCACAAAAGCAAAACATACATCTACTCTGACAAATTTCAGTAGAGGTATACACTTAGTATTATTATGTAATCTCATAAATAAACGTGAATCTGAGAGTTGATGTGTAAAAAATGACTATATCAAATGTTAGATTTCTGTACTGTTAAGCCTGTGGTACCGTAAAAGCTTCTCTGATTTCCAGTTTGAAATCCGATGTAATTATTATTTTCCTGAGTGTCGCCATGCTGTTTTTAAATAAAGAAATCCAAAAATTGGAAAAAAGTAAACATCATAACTTTGGCGCAAAAACAACACTATGCTTCATCATAATAGATAACCTATATTATTGGGTAGGAAACAGCATTATCTTATAACATCAGCCTATTCATGACATAAAAACAATGAGAGGAGTTGCATTTTATGGTATTGCAATCAGATCATATCACTTGATTTAAATTCCACTTTTAAATTTTGATTTAATTCCTCTGATAAAAAAAACTAAAGGAAATTGACATTTTTAAAGTTTGGATTGTTATTTAAGATATGAACTTTAACAAAAAACCTCACTTTATAGTGGCACGGTGAAGAGCCTTTACTCTCTGCTAAAACAGCCTCGTCTGTATTAGAAAAGTACTCAGTTAAAACAGCAAGAGCTAAGAGAACAATGACCAAGTATCAGGGAGGAGAAAACAATGAATTGGTTAACAAGTGAAGCCTATTAAGTGTGTATGGTTGTTTAAAAGAAATTTAAAAAAAGCAATATGGACAAAGAATTCTATTAAAAGTCACTAAAATGGGGAAACTCATCTGTGATGATATACTCACAGACTCAAAATTGATCCAAATTGCTCATTTTAAACAAACTTCCTGCAGTTGTTGCATTCACTATTTCCCTTTTTCCACCAAATAAGTTCTGGTTCTTAAACCAGTTGTAATCAAGATTCTTGGAACCTTGGTGCTATCTAGTGAATCAGCCCGTGTTTTCAACAGTTTTGAGCAGAACCAGAATAAACAAGGATGTGTCATTAACAGAGAGGACTGCACAATACACAGTGGAAGTGAACAGTAAAAGGAAGATGGTGGATTGCACTGATTACCTGAGAACTTTTGTTGTGTTATCACAGATATTAGTTTTTACCCAAAAAGACAAGCATGGACCAGCTGTTAATGATAAGAAGACCTAGAAGACTATTATATATGAGACTCTTTCCAAGCTGTAGAATATTACTGGCCCACTGATGTCGTCAGGGTTCACACTTCAGGTTAATTTAGATGGTGTTCTCCTGTAATGTGTTATGTTGTTGTTTGAGCAATATCCCAATATAATGATAGAGTATGACAGAAAATTCACAGGTTCTTTTGTGAAGAAGTGCTGGATTTCACCTAATTGATATGAGCAAGGATGGAAAAGCAGTCAGTCATTTCCATTCATATTTTCAAAGGCAGCTTTCTTTTCAGGTTCTGAAGTTTCCTCATATGTGTTTGTGGTTTTAGCTCTGCAATAAGAAAACAAACACATTAACAATAAACCAAAACATCAACAAATACTATGTAATGATAATGTAAGTCAAAGCATTAAAGGAAATGAACTAGCTATTCAACAACACAAATGTTAGAAGTGGGGACAGGAATATATGCATCAAAATAGGGAATAACCTCCATAGGCAGGTGGAATGTAACTAAGTATATTTATTTAAGTACTATTTGAGGCACTTATACTTTGAGATTTCCATTTCATGCTACTTTGTACTTTTCCTTCTCTACACTTTGAAGGCAAATATTCGATCGATTCGAAATGAGTTAATTAAATTGTGATTTTATTATGGATTAAACTACTGAGCAGTATATAATGTCATTAAAATGGGCTCCACCTCTACCAGCATCACTATCAATACATCACTATTAACACAAAATACTGTTTGAAGGAGATTTTCCCTCACATGCAATTAGTTTGGTACAGGAAAGGCAGGAATTTCACTTGTCCAAGCCACTGCTGCATGAAGCATTTCTCAGACATTGATATTTGTTGTTTGACCTCTCTACTAATAAACATGTTTTAATTAATGGTATAAAGAAATCATAAGCAGCTAAGAAAAGATATTGCTAGTATGCCTACACCAACAGCTTGAATCAGGGGACCTGATCCCTGCTAAGCCCATTTCCTAACTGAAAGCTGCTCCTCACTCATCTTAACAGATCAATCCTGGAGGGGTGGGGACTGTTCTAGCTCTGACAGGTCTGGAGGCGACTAAAGCAAACACAAGCAAAGAGAGGGAGATAAAACAAACAGATAAAAAAGGACATGAATAAAAAGAAAAGGCAAATACATTAAAGTCTGCCCTGACTCAGCTGTCCTGACTCACCCCAGTTCCACCCCTGTGCCGCTTCAACCTCAGGACCCTACCAGAGATGCCTTCAAAGAGCATGGTAGTTTTTTTTCATCCCCCTTTCTAACTTCCTTTCTTTTCTTCCTTTCCCCTCTTAATTTCTCTCTTAATTTTAATCTTCCTATTGTAAGTACTTCTTTTAGTTGTTACTGTCTCCCCCTTTTGCTCCCTTTACCCTCAGTATCTGTCAAACTGAAAATCCATCCACCCACACAGTCTTACACACGCACACACACACACACACACAAACAAAGTGTACCAAAACAAAAAAATCTAAGCCAACTTTTCATTATTTTACATGGTAAAATGTCTAGTTCCCCCGCTTGTCTTGTGCTGTTTATTTTCATGTCAGAAATGTTACTTATCAGTTGTATTGCACTATTTGTTGGTCACTTGTTCTGTGCTATGTGTTTCAATGTCACTCACCAGAAAAGCACTCAAAAAATAGGCCTATGCCTACACCGTCCCGTCTGATCTGTTATTACTTGTGGTGCCTGTAGGCGGCGCATGTTGCCGGCTCCACTCCGACACCTCAGTTCTTATGACCAATGAACAGTGGCCCTGCCGTGACGTCTGCAGTCATCTGTGTTGGGGTGATTACGTGTAGCTCTCCAACTAGCAGCAGCTAGCCTGTTAGAGACAGCATTAGCAAGTCCATATCGACAGCAACAGCAATATTACTATTCTTTGAGGATATACGGAAAAGGGCGAACCTACAGCCACTGAGCATTTGGAGACGCCATGGACCGATACTTAATCGAAGTTAATATGGTAAGAGAAAGACGACTTCAGTGAACGAGCAAGCTAATGGCAGCTAACATCGCCCGGTGGTGGTAACGTTAACTCTCATTGTTATGGCTAGAAGAGCTAGCTGACTAGCTATCTGTCAAAACATAGTCTCACAGTGTAATTGCAGATTTCCTGATGGGATTTACACTGATAAGACACAACAGACAGAGCATTACTTTGTAGCAATTTGTGAAAGCATTTATCCACACATTAGTAACAAGGTTGAGCTAGTTAGAATACATTTGTAGCTTAGCCACGGAAACAGATTTAGTTACAAAGTCAAAATCTGGTTACTCTACATTGCAGTCATTTATGATGAGTTGCACACTTAGTAGAATTAGATTTATTGTCTTGGCAGTAACTAATATTTACGTTAGAGGTTTGGTGCAGTTTGCATTACAAAAAAAGTACTCAGAAGGTTGTCATCTGCTTTGAGTAACACAATTATCAGCAAAATATAAGACAGCTGTGAGAGACATTTTGTCTAAAATCATGTAGGAAAGAAGCAAGCACTCTCAAAATAAATCCCCTCGAAAGGTGCACGGCCAAAAACAGCGAAAAAGAGAAAAATGCCAGCACTCACAAATGTCCTTTTGGTAAATTTAATAAACCAACTTGGGTGGCAGTACCAGAAACACAGACGTTTCGACAGAAAGTCTTCTTCAGTGTGACATTTGGTCTCCCAAGTAAGTCACATATCAGTTTAACATTATTGTTAGATTCTCTGCTCTCTCAGTGACCTGCTAAAAAGACAGACCAAACAGCCACAACCAAAATGTTGCAGCATTTGTCAGTTATTAACATAACAAAATAGCCCATATGTTATATGACGTTAATAATAAATACCACCATGTCAAAAAGACCTTGATCTTGTTGTTGGGCTCATTACAGAAATGTGACATGTTGCAAACAAGTAGCCCGTGCTTTCACTTTTGCTATTGTCATAATAGTCTGTTTTCTCTTTCCAGCTGTAGCAGAATGGAGTTACCAGACCAAACTTGTTTTGAGGGGTACTGCATAAGGACACGGCTCTGTTTCAGCCCTCACAACAAGGAGCCATAAACTTCATGCATCGTGTGAAGTCACTTACTCTCCAGAAAGTGCAAATTGCCCTCAGAAAGAGACTCTTAAAGGACAGGCATGTTTGCCAAGTTGAAGAAGAAGATCGCAGAGGAGGCTGCCACAGCACCTCGCAGTGGTGTTCGAATACCGCGAACCATCAGCAAGGAATCCATCACCTCAGTGGGGGCAGACTCGGGGGATGACTTTGTAAGTACTTTGTGAAATCATCACCAGTCACTAGCCTAATGCTTTGAATTTTTGGTGGTTTGTGGTTTTCCAGATGGTTTGCTACACCTCTGGGGCATAATTTACCATTGTTTGGAGGTTTTCTTGCATTTGGTTTTGTTTTACGTACTATGTAGTGCAAAACTGTGTCACACCTTTGTGGTCCAGTCCACAGTGGGGAATAGGGACAACTTTAAAAAATAATAAAACAGGACAAGCCTTATTGATGAAAATCAGTACAAGTTGGTCAGTTAAATTTAAAATAGTTATTAACTGTTAATCTAAAAATAAAGAGGTAATGTTCAGACTCATTCTTGCCCATCAAAGAGACAAATCTAACTTATTATTGTTCTTTCAGCACAATATCTGTGTATTACACTACTTCTCTTAGTGTAGTGTTAAATTGGTTACTGGAATGTGTTCATTCATAACTGAACAAAGACAAGTCATTTTATTTATTGATTTTACAGCATAATTGATAGTTGTGCATAAAAATTCTGAGTGGAAAAGTTGACTTGTGAAGAAAGATGGATTGTGGTCTGTGCTCTTCTTCTGCAGGGTTCAGATCACTAATGAACACACTGCTGGCTATCATCTGTCTCTGTCTTATCTTCTTGGGGCATTTTTCTTTAGTTGATTATGTTGCCTTGAATTAGCATTAAGAACTAATTCTATGGGTTTTAAAGGGGCACCCCAGTGGAGACTTGCAAGAAACACATTTTTCAAAAAAATCACTATTGTCAAAATCAATGCAGAAGTGGGTGAGATATCCTGACTCTTAGTTCCCAGCGTAGGTCAAGCTAATGTGAATGGGTTGCATCTTTGTTATGTCCACATCTTTTAAACTCCATTACCCTGTTTGTAATGTAGTTTTTCTGTCATAAATGTGCAGTCTCCCTGATGACATCATCAGGATTATTTTTTCAGACTTTAACAAGCTTCTGCAGAGGTGCACCGATCTCTGAACCCATCTGCTGTTGGTCTGTGAGCGATAAGACGTTTGGAGGCAATGGCAAATATTGCTGGGGGATCCGGTGTAGCCAGTGGATATTTGGGCCACTTCTGTGCTCTGCTCATTTTGGCTAATATCTATAAACAGATAGCCACATACAAATGCAGATGAAAGAAGAAAACCTAATAAAAAGCTAATTAATTTTCTAGGGCTCAGTATCAGTACTCAGCATCTTTAAGATATTGACCAAAATAACCCAGTACCAAGTAATTTCTTCAGTCAAATGACACCTGCATTTGATCCATTTTGTATCCAGTTCTAGAAAAAATGGCTGTTTTTATGGTTTTACTTGCAGTCAATCACAGAAACGTACTTTGATTCAATTCAGTGTGATAAGCCCACTACCACAGCAGCTACAACCCATACAGTGTGTGGTGTGGTGAAGTCAATTGAGATGTATTTAATGGAGTTGGATGTTCAGTGTGCTGAGATGCCCCAAAACACTCAAAAGTGGCTACACATGATGACCCTGCATATACAGCATGGCTGTCATACTATTCAAATGATGGGTATTGAATGAAGTACAAAAAAAGGTACTCTATTGGTAATGGTGTCACTCTAAGGGGCTGTACACATAACGCATTTTTTGTGTCCTCAAATTCATTGTTTTTGATGTAGACGTGTGGCAGGCCCACTCAAACGCCAGAGCACCGCTGTCGTGGTGTGTATGCATTTTCCAGCACCTGTTTTTTAGGGCACTCGCCCTAAGATAAACTGAGTAAAACATTTGGAATGCATCAGTGTGCATCGCATGTCATGTGACAAGGACCAAACGATCACAGCCAACAGACATCTTTCTCCTTCATCTGTAAATATCTGTCTGTGAAAAATATGGGGAAAAAGTTGATCATGTTAGTGCAGGGCTGCCAGAGCTTTACATCTGTCCCATGGACAATAGGCCTACACACAAACAGTGCCTGGAAGAAGATCAGCTCTGCACTCAGGATTTCAGGTAAACAGGTTATGATATGGTGCTTATTCAGGTTGCTTAGCAACCTCAGATGCAACCTGCTGCAATACTGGCACAGAAACAAGGCAAAAGAGTAGCACCCAGCATCTGACCTTGTGTATTCCAGGCGGCTAAAGATACGGCATGTGTACTGCCCCTAATGGTACTAGTATTGGTACTCATATTGTAATTTTTTTAAATGATACCTGGCCCTTTCATCGCCAGAAGATACCTGCTGGGTTTCGAGATTGCGTTTTGGCCAATGTGTTCTGCCTTATTTGCTCTGCCTGGGTTCTCACAGGTGGAACAGGAGTTTCAGTGATCTGCAGAGACTGAAGCCAATTAATGCAACGTGCCTCTATTTCAGCAGTTAAACTGTTGAATAAGGCAGTGAACACAGCAACCTCTATGACAAATCAACCCCATGTTATGTTGAATATCCTAGCTCACTCTCAACTCAAGGAATGTGTTCATTATATATAATAAATACCAGTTTTTACTAGTTCTAATCTGTTATATGCCAACAGGTTCTTCCGTGAATTTCACTACATTGAGTTCTTTTATGGGAAGATAACAGAGCACGCTCAGTGTGAAAATAGCACCTTGAATGTTTGTAGATGCTTTGTTTGTCCACACCACACACAGCTGGTATTTAGGACGGGTGTCTAAATGTTAGAGATACTCTGGCAGCTCCTGTCGATGCTGATGGCTTTGAACCAGCTACATTAGTAATCCCCTTTGTGGCACGTCCCAATGTGCAATATCACTGCCAAATGTATAGATATCAACAGAATCACATCTCTCCTTTCAGTGATGTTCTCAGAAGAATAAACAGCTCTGTGATAGAATAAATGATTTAAACTGCAGTTCTTAAAATGCAGTAAGACATCAGGAGTTTAAAAACACAAGATAAATGTCCCCAGTTTTTTTTATTTGTAAGTACTCATGATGAAAATAGAAAGAAAGGAAATTTGATACCTTTTTTTTGAGGATGTCATTGAATGGGTCAGGGAACGGGAGATAGTAGGTTTTATTTTTTAACATTGTTCACACAGTGATTGCATTCCACTGTTTCCAACCCAGCCATAATGGAAAATAGATTGAAATAGATTGAGGATCGACTGATGTCATATCATTTTCTCACATGTCATTTGTCACTCTGAATTAGTTGTGGAAAGTCTAAATAAAATTTAAGGTATTTGGGTTCAGTTCTATGACAGGAGTCGTGGCTGGCTTTTCGAATAGTCACCAGTCAGGGCAGTTCTACGTAACAGGACTTGGGTGTGACTAACATTGTGTTGTATTGATTACTCAGTCTTAAGACCAGCCAGTCTAACATGAAACCCTGTTGATTCATTTCCCGTGTCACAGCCGAACACACTCACAGCTGACTTTATCAGTTTTATTCCTGAGTGTTTCTTCTTTTTGGTTGTGGCTGCTAATTTCACCTGTTCTTTTGGGTTCTGCAGAGCACACTGATTTTTTTTTTCCTATATTGTTTTCAATAGAAATGTTTTTGTCATAGCTTTGTAAAGGAAATCCATGTCTGTGGTATAGCTTTGTTCATTGGAGCTAACAAGGGAGTGAAATCCCTCACAGGGAAGCTAGACTCCTGAGGCTGTTGTACTGTCTCAGTTGCACTTGGCTAAATTATTTAGTGCAGTTGCTGAGTAGCAATACTGCCAGCTAACATGTGGCATTGTGTTTCTGGAACAAAGTGGGTGCCACAGTTTAGCCAACTTCAGGGTTCCTACGCAAGTATGGAAAGTATGGAAAAGTATGGAAATTAATTTGATCAATTTCTAGGTATTAAAAAGTGTGGAAAATGAAAAATAAAGTATGGAAAAATATTTATGTTTCCAGACTATTACCACTGTTCTAAAATACTGTTTTCTAAAATAGAAAATTATGTATTTCCAAAAATAATTTAATTAGTCCAGATCGTGTTTTATGCCGGGCCAAGCACAGTTTATGTGAGAGCAAACGTCTCAGAAAACATACCGCCCCTTTTACCTGATTGACAAGTGGTATTGTCAGTTGCTGCCCCATGACCCTCCTCCAGCCCCCCAGGTATCAAGTTTCACTGCAACACTGCACCTTCGACAAGAAGAAGAGTTTCACGTGGTTCACAATGGGTAGATGCAAGTTTTTTGATGGATGGCTTGACAATACTGTATATAAATACTGGCCAAGGATTCCCAATTCACACACAGAGCTAGATGCAAGCTTTGTGTGAAATCGTCTGACATCGCCAACATGGAGGAGAAGGCGATTCTGAGCCACATGAAAGGAAAAAACACAGATGTCTCCTAACTGCAACGCTTGCACCCAGAGTCCCAACCTTTTTGCCTCAGCCCAGACATTGAACTTACCTGAGTTTTTATTTGCATGCCATTATGGTACTTGGCTACAATCGCCTATTAAGAATAATTAAATATGATGTGAAATATGATACACTGATATATTTACTCAGATGGTGCATATTCTCTGAAAAAAAAAAAAAAAAATTAGGGTATGGAAAAGTATGGAATTTTGAAATTCCAAATGTGTAGTGACCCTGCAACTTGTTTGCATGACAGGGACAGGTGCCATCTTTCCTTTCTGCATTCATTTCGTATATTTTTATTATTCCTGTAGTACAATAGCAATGGAGTTTGAAAATAAAATGCCATTCTGTGATGTCAAACATCAGTTTTTATGTCCAGGAATTCCTGAAAATTTTGGACTAGTCACCAGATTATAGAGAGTAGCCAGTAGAGCAATGCTACCTGCAGAGAAAATAACAAGTTATCACTGAAATGCATTGGACATGTTTGATGATTTCTGACTGTGAAAGAGCAACTGAAGATGGATATTTGCTTGTGTGTGTGTGTGTGTGTGTGTGTGTCTTCAGGCATCAGATGGCAGCAGCTCCAGGGATGACCTTCCCGCACAGCTTCTCAGAAGGAATGATCAGATCCGGAAGCTGGAGGCCAAGCTATCAGGTAAGACATGTCAGACTGGAGCGATTCAGCCCGTAGCTCTCAGTAGCCAGGATCAGAGAAATTGAAACCCAGGTGTAGCTTGTGATGCACAGGACTGTAAGTAATAGATCCTATCATAACTGTGTGATGATGAAATAACATCAAAATCATGTGGCCAACTCCTAATGACAGAGCCTGAAGCATTAACTAAAAATGTCATTGCAGTGTTGATCCATATTTTACCAGCAAATGATGATCAACGTACTATGTATCCATGTAGGGCGGCTTATTCCATGTGTGATATATAAAATGACTGTCACAAACGTAGAGTATAAATTGTCACAGCATTTTTTTGTACACCACTGGTATGATACTTGCTTTGGTGTTTCGATTCTCTTGCTCTCTCCTATGGCTCTCTCCCTCTTACAGACACACATACATAAACACAGATTTACAAACATGATACCTTAAGACACTCCTCCCATTCAGATCAGTCTCCTCTGTGTGGGCAGGCAAAGTGAGGCATGTTTTTGTATCACAGCTCCAGACCATGACTACTTTGCGACATATATTAATATATGAACTGGAGAACTGTTGGTTTGTTTCTAGTTTCCAGTGAATAAATCATCCACGTTTAACTGCGCCGCTGTAACATTTTAACTAAATGGGTTTACTATAGTGTGAGAAGGTGCCATGTGTGTTTTTGTACCTGTGGAGCTCCGTGACCCGCAGTCGCATTTTGCAACCACAGAGCACCAGTGCAATATGCAAATACTATTGATATATGAGAGCTGTTAGTTTGTTATCAGTTTACAGTGAATAAATCCTCATGTTTAAATGCCCTGTGGCAACGATTTAACTTTCTGCCAACTGCTCACAACAACTGTTGACTGGAAGCTCTAAGTTCACAGCAAAGACACCAACTCTTCCAGGCCAGGGCGAGCCAGGTGCTTCAGAATAAAAGCACCAGTTGTTCTGCTTTGATTTGATTTTTTTTTTTTAGTTATAACAATACTCTATTTATCTTTATTATAACTGTACTTTATTTAACTTTATTATATGGCAGTAGCCATTTAATTAACTTTTTGTAATTGTAGTTCATTTAATAATTTGATATTTTAGTTGTCTACAGTAGAGGAGATTTCAAAATATCACTATATTTTTTTAAAGCCATATTGCCCAGCTCTAATCTGAGGCAACCATCTAGAAAAAACATTGCACTCATAACTGAAACTTCAATGCCTCTGGTCTGTGAGACAGGCACCAGCAGCTCAAACAAATTGTCTTTGTCAAAGGAATGTGACTAGATCCTGTCAGGAACTGGTTTGAAAAAAACTGTAATTTGTAAATGCTGGATTAAGTCTTGTGGTTCAAAGCAAATTAAATTTCATTAGTTCCACTTGTGTTATTACCTTGTTAATTTTCAGTGCTTTAATCTTTACATAGCATGACTACAAACACTTCATGAGCGTGTTTAACAACAGCAAAACTGTATCAAACCATCCCTTGTAAAACTCTCACACAACTCATGCAGTATAATCCAAGTCTCATTTATCCAGTTGGATGCGCAGCACTTCCCAAACACATGCATTTTCACTAAAACATTACAATTTAAAACATGTTAGTATGATCAGTCTCATGCACAGCTGAGTAGCGTGCCCTATGCGCATCTGTTTGAACTCTGTTCATGCAGAGCTCATACACGTGCCTTACAAGTGTTCAGGGCGTGCTACCAGGACCCCAGGTAGTAAAACGAGTAAAGAGATGTTTGTATATCACTCGCTACTTTTTTTTAAGCATCACAAAAACTGAATGAAAAATGACTTGTTTCACTATCAGGATTTGATCCATTTGCTCGTGAGTTGCGTGATTAAAGCAGCTGTGCGGAGCTTTAGGTTTTCGTTGATTATAGCGCCCCCTTTGGTTGAAGCGGTATGACACCCACAGCCAGGTGTCGTAAAATTTCAACTGCAGCTGGCATTCAGCTTCATTGGTAAAATCTCGACTGCAACCGGCAATTACCGCATGCATTTGTTTTGGAGAGCGAGAGGAAAATCATAAATGTTCTGGTGTAGCTCTGAATTTCTTATAAACTGAGGACAACTGCCTGCTGTATATTTGTGTTCATGGTCACAGTCACACATAATTTTGTGGCATTTGTTGTACTAGACAAAAGCGGTTCATATCAGCTAACATTACATTTAGCTTGCTTATAGCTTCCATGTTGTCATATATTGAAATGAAACAACATCTAACAAGTTGCGGTATATTTTCTAAATAAAAACAAAAATTACATACCTGTTGATTAGGAAAAGGGCCAACTCGGGATCAGTTTTAAAACCTTTCAAATCTCTCAGCTCTCTCCACTTGGTGAATGCCCGACCGAGGTTTACATGTGTTTGGGCTCGAGCCCTATCACTGTCCCGTTTAGCCTTCTTCTGTTCTTTTTCCTTTAGACGGTGCTCCGTCTTTATCTGCCATGACATCGAAAGTACAACCAAGTCCTTATAGATGCATCTGGTAAAACTCATTCTCCTTCTTCTTCTGTGGTTTAATGGCTGTGGGCCGCTGCAGGCGTGCAGACTTACTTCCGCCTCCGGGTGCCTTATTCTGGTTTGCTGACCTCCGCTGTGTCCCAACCGAGGCTATGCTAAATAGCCATATAGAGAAAGGCTTTTTTGTTGCAGTTGGGTTCAAATAAATATGCGAATCTTCAAGTGGGGGTGATAAGAACTAGGGACAGTTTGATAAATGGTAAAAAGTTCCGCACAGCTGCTTTAAATCATTTTATACCCATTTAAGTTAGCGGAGCACTAAACCGGAAGTTAGCCATTCAGGTGGTGGAGATAACACGCTCAGCCACACTTGGTCGTGCCCTGCTGCTGTTAGTCTCTAGTGCGCCTGCTGTATGGGCTTCATGGTGCGGAAGTAGTGCTGATAATCCCCAGATCATTCGGGCAATGTTATGCGTGGCAGCTGAAGCATTTTGGCTTCATGCGCCACTGACCAACTTTCATAGGAATGAACAGGGCCCCGCTTTCATTGCTGTATCCAGTTCTCCTAATATATCAATGCGCGCTACTAATGGGTGGAAGTGTTTTATATATTAACATTTTAGTGAAAATGCATGCGTTTGGAAGGTCCTGAGCATACGACTAGATACACTGCAAGAGTTGTGTGAGAGTTTGTAAATGGATGTTATGATGTATTTTTTCTGTTCTGAAACGTGGTCCCCAGTGACTTCAATTCATGAAGAATGTTCCCCTTTTTTTGCATTCTCCATTTACCATGTAGGTGTGCGAGAAAATCAAGAGTTTTAATTAAAAAAATCAACGTAACATGCAGTGAGTAATTGATATACAAATGGTCATTTTGAGAGTGAAGTATTCTTTTAACTTAGTGTGTTTTTTCCAGAAATCCAGATTCAGATCTCGAGTGAATAAATTTGGCAGTAAGATGGTCGCAGCTAGTTAATAGTGATAGTGTCAAAAATTATTTTTGCCCTTCACTTCCTCAGTGATCTAAATGTACCACAAAGTTTGACAGAAGTTGTGTTTGCCTTGGAACAACAGTCCCCTCCCTGTTTCTTATTTAAACTGGATTTCTCAAACCCTACCCATGCTGCACAGAAGGTGTTAGCTGTGCTTGCAATATCTGCCTTGTTAATGGTGATTCATTTGTCTCAGAATGACTACTTTTACTTGCTGTTTAAATGTTTGCTTGGTGTATATTCAGTGGAACACAGTCCTGTCATTAATGAAGTTTTAGGCTGTTTTTTTCCCTCCTCCTCTTAGTAAAATAGCTCATCTGTCCTTTGAGTGGTTTATGTGACTTTGCACCCTTATAAAAAGTTAAGGGTCGCACATTTTCATGTAGCCTTTTAACCAGTATGGTTTTCTCAGATAAGAAAATCATTAATAGATTTACCTTCCATTATTTCTCAGTCATGTTTTCCCTTTTGCTTTCTCCCTCTTATGTTCACTTTCTCTCCTTCCTCTCTCTTTATCGTCATCTGCCTGTTCCTCTTCCTTGTTTGTGTTTTCTGTGTGTGGTTGTGTGTTGGTGTACATGTGTGTGCGCGTATGTGCTGTTGATACCCCATCCCACCACCCTACTTCCCAACACTAGACTACGCTGAGCAGCTACGAATTATGCAGAAGACGAAGGAGAAGCTTGAAATTGCATTAGAAAAGCATCAGGATTGTACGTACCTCTACTCTCCTCCCAATTAGCTTCTTTTCTCTCATCTGTCTGTCGGCCTTAGTAAACCATCACCTAGTGTGCCATCAGTTCCTCCCACAAAGACTTTTTTTTTTCCCCCAGAAGCTAATATCATGGGTGTTAGAGGTTTGCTTTGGGAGTGCTGAATGCTCTGTCCTTTAAATCTAAAAATCCACCCTCAGATCTTTTACACTGGTGTTCTTTAAGTGTATTGATTTCAGAGTTATGTATGCATTGTCACTTTCTTTGTTGGTGTACTCACTTTCTCTTAGTTTGAGTCAGTTGGACATATGTGTATAAAAAACGCAAACTGTATCATATAAATAGAGCTCACTAGCTACCCTACCTATGCATACAAACCTTAATACCTTTATTGCAGCCACATCTTTTATTTAATTATCACTATGTCTTGTGGCTGCACTGTGGTCTGTTGGGCTTCCTGCCAGTGGAGAAACTGGGATATCCGCCTTTGTCAATGTGCTTTTGATTGTTTTTGTGACATCAGCTGTCCAACGCTGTGGATATTTGTGGTCCTGAGTGTGAATTCTAATGTTTTTGGGGACCTTTGCACCTGGCTGACATTTGGATTTGTGCAAAAGAAATAGCACACTCTAACCCCCAATGTCCACTGGACGAGGCTGTGTCATGTTCCAGCTCTGTTACGGCTGCTGGGGAAGATGAAATAGCATTCCTTTAGATGCGTGAGCCAAGGTTCTCAATCGCAGGTCTTTTGTCTGTTTCACTCATAGACTCTCTATAAAGATGGACGACACAGCAGCTCCCAAAAGTGAAACCAAAACATCTTGACTGCAAGTATAGGTCATAAATCCCGCCCCCTCCATATTAATGGATGGGACATGGGCCAAACTAAAAACGTCAAGTACATGTCAAACATTTTGGGTTGTTCTTATCATGCTGATGTTCCAGCATGATGTTCCAGTGTTGGTTTTCTGTTAAGTTTGGTTAAAACTAGTAATTTGATGTTAAAAAAGGGAGATTGAGTTCATGATTGACAGCTGTGTGTGCCAGACGGTGTGCTCCCAATCAAAGGCGCTGCTCGTGATTAGTTGGACGGGTGTGTGAATGGGAACTCTATACCAGTGGAGACTGCGAATGCTCCAGATGACACACCAGTGCAAGGCGGCAGCGGCCGTATCCAGGATATTTTGGCTCCCTTTTTTCTACAGTAGGGGGAAGTGGAGATGTGACGTCCATCTTTATATACAGTCTGTGGTTTGACTAACATCTCACTCTAGGTTTATTTTAGCCAGCTCGCATCTCTAAAGTAGGCAATTCACTTGTGAGCCAAAAGATTAAAACCACCAGCAGATGAAGAAAGTAACATTGATTGTCTTGTTACAATGTAATGTTCTGCTGGGAAACCTTTGGTCCTGGCATTTATGTGGACACCACTTGATGCGTTCCACCCACCAAAACAAGTTCAACAGCAGACTAGGCGCACCACCACCATATGGTGCCATTTTTGAGGGCCAGTGCCATGAGGGGGGTACTTGGTCTGCAACGGTGTTTGGGAGGGCGGAGCATGTCAGGTAGCATCCACATGAATGCCAGGAGTAAAGAATACTCTCTGGAACACTGTAACAAGGAGATCAGCGTTAATCAGTTGGTCTGTCAGTGGTTTCAGTGTCGTTGCTGATCGGTGTATGTGAACTGATCACCAAGTGACATTAAATTAATATCATAAGTAATCTCTTATCAATTTTTCAATATGCAGTGCTGACAAGTAGACTGTAAACTTCATTGAAGAGGCGGCTGCTGAAGAACAGCCTGCTTGAAGATGCTCTGTTTCTGAAACCCTTCCAGCGCACATTGGACTTACAGAGATGTAGCACAATAATAGAGTGACAAAGCTGCGAACAAGTCCTCAGTGCCACCATTAGGCCAAGGTGTCTACTTTTCTCTCAAAATATCTCAGATTTTATAACAATAAACCTTTTGATTTGAATGACTGCCCAGCTCTTTCCCCAGCACCCTCTCAGAGCTAACTTTTAAGTTATAGTGTGTGGTAAAGAACCACTAATTACTGAGATTTACTCTCAAGTAAAAAGTATTACGAGTCCAAGAATAGTAAAATCTTCAGTTTGTTGTTGGTTCTAACTGGCACTGAAATATTGTGAGTTGTAATGAACAGTGAAGGACAGTCAAGGAGATGTAGACTTTGGGGTGGATTTTTTTTTCTTAGTTCACACAGATAACACGCAGTGTAAGCTTCAATAAACTGCTTTAGTTTTTGTCAGTTGCCATGCATCGCTTGTCTTTGCCTGTCTTTGCTTTTGGGATGAACACACTTCTTAATCTGACTCTAACCTTTCACAGCTACTAACGGTGCCACTGTCTGTGCTATTTAATATTTCTGTTCTCCTTGGTTGCATACAAACCTCTTTCTATGGTTTCCACCTTTCCCTTTCTTTTTCTCTTTCTCACTTTAACTGCCCAGCATCTATAAAGAAACTTCAAGAGCAGAATGAGTCTCACCAGGCCAGCCGAGCGAAAATGGCTGAGGGGATGGCTTTAGCACTGGAAAAGAAGGATCAGGTAAAAGCAACTCCATCTTACCGACTGTACAGTCCTGATTTGTGGCTTGTGTACTAATCTCTGTCCATTCTTTACCTGCAGGAATGGATGGAGAAGATGACTGATATAGAAAAGGTAAGTCTTTAAATATATCTTTTGGACTTTCTAATAATACACAATTTATGATGATATTATCTTTAAATGTGACTGTTTTCCACATCTAAAATAGAAGGATCAAGGACTTGTAAAACAGTGCAAGACTTAAATTTGTTGCTTTCACACCTAATGTGTTTGATGTGGTTCAGTTGAACTTGTAGCTGGGGCTGGTCAATATATTGATACTCTGGCGATATTGTGATTTGAGACTGTATATTGTCTTAGATTTTGAATATCATAATTAGGGCAGGGTATCAACAGAAATAAATTGGTACCAAGTGTATCGAAACATCTCTAATCAAACGATATCTGCATTCAATCCTTCTTGTGCCGGTGGTCTGATCTGGGACCGTCCTGTCTCCTCGCCAGATCAGCAGACGTCCTGTTACAGCCACCTCCAGAGCTACTATCCCCGTCAGTTTAACATCTGCCCATTAAGTATGAGCTCCACAGCTGCAGCAGCAGCGATCATCCAACGCCATGCCGTTTAATGGTCGCAACAAACTCGCACCGACACAAAATGGCTCCACTTTGTCATTAAACCCGTCAATGAAAATCCGTGTGATACTAACAGTTAGTCCTGTCAGTGTGTGTGTGTGTGTGGCCGGGCGGACTCTCACAACTTTTCCTGTTGTGAAGCTCACACTCAGCAGCAAGAGCAGCTTCAGTTTCTTTGGTCACCAGATGTCACAGCCTAAATTCAACAAAACATCAGTGTTTTACAACACTGGTGGCCAGCTGGGTTGTGTTTGAAAGGACAAAGAGAGGTGTTGTATCAGTCTACCGAGTGCCATAATCCTTGGGTGCCATTAAACAAGTGTCATTACTCTATCTTTCTCTCTCTCTCTCGCCCAGCCCTACTTGCACTTGGTGTGTTTGCCCATTTAGTTCTGCTTTTTTGGGTTGGTAGGAAAGATGTCTATTGAAGTCTGGTGCAGACTAAACAACTGGCTTGAAGTCCCCTGCAAGAGCCCCCGAGGGTCTCAGTGTGGCTCCAGTCAAACTTGTGCAGTGTGTTTTGGTTTTAGTGAGAAAGCAAAGCTGACCAACCCCAGGTTTTAATGTGATTTTAGGATAGATTAAAAATCTTTCTGTTGATTGTGAAGTTTGGTAAGTAACCCCCTCATCTAGGTTTTAAACAACATATACTGTAGCCTATGTCTGCAAGATTATTTGACAACCATGGTGCCACGTATGTGCGTCATCATATGATTTCAGAAAGTGGAAAGGGGTTAAACCAAAAGTTTGCTGAGCTTGTGTCTTATTCCATTCCATTCGAAGTACATGAAACAAGTGATAAAAGCTAAAGGGAAACAATGTATAATATTTTCCTTGGTCGGGACCAAACAAACCGAATCACAAGTGTGAAAGTACACTTAAACTTGGTTTCTTGAAGCCTGCTCATGCACGTGTCCGCTGGTATAACTGTTGTATTTGTTTAGGAGAGGGATTCCCTGTCAGCTCGGCTAGAGGAGATGATGGAGCAAAGCTTAGCACTCTTCCAGAAAAGGGATGACCTGGATGAACTGGAGGGCTTTCAGCAGCAGGAGCTGGCTAAAGTTAAACACATGGTGCGTACATGTGGAGTTGGAGGGTGGATCTGCAGCATGACTTAAAAACAATGATGCAGTTTGCTACCTTTTTTTTTTTTTTTTTCCATTTTGCGTTTAAATTGAAAATTGAAGAAGGAAAGGATATGCTGTCATTTAAATAACTATGCTTTGGAGTAAGTGCAGTCTGCAAGCCTCGGTGCAGGATAGGAGAGACTGTGTTTGAAAAGCAGTTGGTTTGTTTAGGTGTGATTTAATTTCACATGGGTTCATAGCAGCACATTCTTTAGTGCATGGTATGCTCCTTGATTGTAATTAATTTCCCATTTATGTCTGTCAGTTGTTGAAGAGGGAGGAGCAGCTGGGCCAGCGCGAACAGGAGCTCCAGCAAAAGGAGGCTGAAGTTCAGTCGGCAAAGCAAGGGCTGTCTGAGGCTCGAGGGAAATTCCATATTCTGAAACAGCAGCATGAGGAGAGCTGCAGACTCAACTCTGAGCTGGAAATAGAGCGGTAAGAAGGAATGCAATGGGCAGCAGGATGTTATTTTTATGCTTTTTTTTTTTTTTTTTTTTTTCTTTTTCCCCAAAACAATTATTTTGGTATTTTGGTCAAGCTTCTGAATTAGCTGTGTTGTCAGACAGCTGAGCTTTCCTAGACAATTGGACAATCAGTTAAAAATGCAAACCTTATCCCCCAGGTGTATCCCCATCAGTTACATTGGTAACTTGCCTGTCATTCTCGGAACCCATCCGCTGTATTCGGCGTCTGACTTCTGGCAGACGGCGACACAGCCTCTGGGGGCAGACCCTTGATTTTTTGGCATTCCGGTTTGATTTGGGCGGAGGAGGCGAATTTCCGTTTCCGACTTCCGTTTATATATAAGTAAATTTGCTGAATCATTGCGATGGATTCAGAGTTTGCAGTGACTTTAATTATGTTCCGCCTCGTTAGTTCACCGCACGGAGCGTTTAACCTGGCAACAACTGCAGCCTGCTCAAACGTGATTGATCAATATCACGTTGACTACAAACAGCCTACAACCGGAAACCAGGGCTCTTCCGCTCTTCTTCCGGAGGCAAGATCTCCAAAAAAGTTTAATTTGTGCCCTAACCTATAAATTATAAGTTTACCTTTGTTGTTGAACCATGGATTTTGTGAAAGAACAGCAAAAGACAAAGTGTATGTCATTGAATTTGCACAGAGAGGAGCTGCTGTTGCTCAGAGAGGAGGCAGACAAGAAGATCAGTGAGCTGGATGGACGATGCCAGGAGCTGCAGTCAGTCATCCAGCAGGTCTCTGAAGATTTCCAGAAGGTCAGTTCTGAACACAAGTTGCATAAGCTACACTCGATGACTGTACTTCTTTAATGAAGTTACGATCATTTTTCAAGGCAGCTGTCTGTGAATTGAGTGAGTTTGTGAATTGTTTGTATTTCAGTCACAGAGTATGGTGTCGACCTTAGAGAGGTCCCTCCAGGAATTACAGACTGAACATGATGCCCTGAAATTACAACAACAAAAGGTCAGAACAGCCTCAAATTAACAGTCATATTTTGAATGACTTATTTTCTCCCTCAGGCAACAGGACAAGTTAGGGCTGTCACTTTGAGTGACTGTAAAAACGCATAGCATCATCCTAAAATTAGTTATAGTTTGACAGTGTTCCACTTAGCTTAACCATTTTCCATAATTTTTGGCAAAAGCCAAAATTATACTTCCCTCTTGCTTTACACATGCCTAGTGTTGTGATCATCTGTCTTGCATTCACAAGGTGAGCATCACAATCAGAGGTTACTGGGCAATAGATCAAGGTCACACTGCATTTTATCAGCGACCCCTGATGGAGAACAATAGGAACCCAATTCAAATAGTCTGGTGTGCTTTTAGACTGAGTTTAAATTTTTTAAACATGTTCCCATGTTTGAATTATTGCTGAAATTTGCCTAACATAGTACATTATATCCTTAATATTTCAGTATACAGTAAGCAGTCAACATCTTATCAGGTTTTCATGGAACTCCTCAAGCATTAATTAATCAGAATGACAGTGTTTTTAAGGCAGGCAGATTCAGGGAGTTTCCTACTGTCTCTGGAGTAGACAGGAAATACAAGTTTCCAATATCTTACAAGGCTTTTAGAATAGCAGTATTAACAATTTAGGTTTTAAAAGTGAGTTAGTCATATACTCCTTTGACTTTATCAGGCTGCTGTAACAGAGGAGGACAAGGAGCGCTTGTTAGTGGACCTTCAGAAGAAAGTGACATCTCTGGAGAGATGGTTGCAGAGTAACCTGAGCCAGGATGAACATCTGCAGGAGCTCCTCCACGAGGTGAAGAACATTTGGAGCAATGCTTAGTTTAAGCCACTGTTGGCTGGAACCCACTGTTTTTTGTGGCAGATGTTGAAAGATTCCCTCCACTCTGATTCCTGTAGAAAACATGAAGAGTGTTCCTCTCTGTAATGTTTATATAATAGTATGTACATACCAAATAAATAACTTTCTTTCATTCTGTCATTTAAACTTTGTTACTGTGTAGATAATTTGTCAATTATCATGTGTTAAAATGAAATGGATTAAAGGCAGGATTAAGTCAAAGGCTTGATTTGTAATTTTTTGACTAAATTACAGGTGTGTTTACGTAATGATGAAAAATAAGCATTATGTAAATTATGTTGTGTATTAAAATTAATATATATAATGTGGAGCCTACCTTATATGTATTAAGGAATGAAACATAAGCCAAACAAGCTATTTATCAGTCCATTTGTTGCCTTTTCAGAAGTCTAGCCTGGAGCAAAATTTGGAGGAGACCAGAGCAGAGCTGCTGCTGGTTAGGACAAACCATGCAGATACTGTCAGCTCTCTGGAGACACAGGTAAACCACTGCATCTCTTCACTAAAGAACCTGAATCCATCAAATCTTCAAACCTGTGATTTTAAATACGTTCCTCAGTTGCTCTTCCTGAGGTTTCTACCATTTTTTTTCCCCGTTAAAGGGGTTTTTTTAGGGAGTTTTTCCTTATCCGCTGCGAGGGTCATAAGGACAGAGGGATGTCGTATGCTGTAAAGCCCTGTGAGGCAAATTGTGATTTGTGATATTGGGCTTTATAAATAAAATTGATTGATTGATTGATTTTGTGAATTAAGTAGAATAATAACTGCTGTAGTATTTCATCATTGGGCTAAATTAGGATGCATAGGTCACTAACAGTTGATTGTGTGTAGCTTTCAGGGGAACAAAAAGAGGGCTCCTTTATTTATTCCTGTTTTCACTAACATGACTTAAGTCATTTCAGATTTCCTCATTTTAATTTCAGTCCATGCCCAATCCAAAGGATAGGATGATTTTGACAAAGTTTCTGCAGGAAAACAATATGTGGCTTTCCCAACTTTGATATTTAGTACAAATGTTGTCAAGTTGTCTTAGCAAAGGTAAAATCAGTGTGACAGAATGCCCCTCCAGCTTTGTGTTTTCTGTCTGATCTAGGTATCCAGAATGAGCTGCAGCATTACTGAGCTGCAGACCCTTCTACGACACAAAGACGACTCCTCCAGAGCCTACAGAGAGAGAACAGACTCACAAGTAAGCATACAGATACAGTACTGCAAGAATAACCGATCACGACATTATTAAATTACCTTAAGCAATGTCTTTATCAAATTAACAGAAAATGAATGGATTTCTTTTGAATGGCTGATAATGTTGCTCACAGTGTGGAAGTCAGTTGACTGCGATTATAAAGTGCTTTAGCAGTCTTAGCGACCCCTGAGAGCGCTTTAAAACAGGTACCATTTACACACCTGTGGCTGAGTCTACCATGCACCGTACCATGGTGCCATCTGATAAACCCAAACACCAATTAGGTGTTCAGTATGTTGCCCAAGGACACTATGACATACAGGCTGCAGAGGCCAGGGATTGAACCACTCTATGACTGCTCTACCTCCTGAGCCACAGCTGCCCTGCTGAGCCAGAGCCACACCAGTCACAATCAATCATTGTTCTACTTTCTGTTTCAGATAGCTAATTTGGAGCAGCAAATCCTTGAGAGTAGTGAGAGACTGAAGAGTGCAGAGCATCAGATCATAGAGAAACAGCATCACATGGATAAACTGGTGAGTACCACAACAGTCAAGAGCACAAAATGAGTCTTTTTTTTTTTTTCTTTTTTTCTTTTTTTTTCCAGATAGAAATTGCTAGTCATTTTCCAAAGTGGCTGAGAGAGTATACAGACTTATCACTGAGCCTGTACATTTGTGGCTGCAGGATGCTCTCTGAGCCCTTGTCAGGTATAATTCTCAGCAAACTGAGAAAAATGGTTGGGAAAAGTAAACAAGCAGAATAGAACCAAAAATAGAATATAAGAGGGATCTATGGTGATAACGTTTTAGCACTTGCCTCAATGAATGAATGATTGGACAGGTGGCACGGTGGTGCAGTGGTTAGCATTGTCACCTCACAGCAAGAGGGTTCCTGGGTCGTACCCCGGGTTGGGGGTGCCCTTCTATGAGGCGTTTGCATGTTCTCCCAGTGTCAGCGTGGTTTTTCTCCATTTACTCTGACTTCCTCCCACAGTCCAAAGACATGCAGGTTAATTGGTGACTCTGAATTGTCCGTAGGTGTGAATGTGAGCATGAATGGTTGTCTGTCTCTATGTGTCAGCCCTGTGATAGTCTGGTGACCTGTCCAGGGTGTACCCTGCCTCTAGCCCAATGTCAGCAAGGAAAACATCTCCCTGAAAATCTGGAAACCGTTTCTCGACAAATGGTCTACAACCCAGCAGAAGTGAACTGATTCATAGCTTATGTTCTTTACATTAGGTGACTAGGGCCTATCCATGGTGCATCACATTCTCATTTTTGTGACATTTTGGTTGCCAAGGGGTGTTTTCGTTTCCAAATATTTATTTGAAAACAAAACCATTCATACAGTCAGTAAAAAAACATTTTGTTAATAATAAAAAATGAATCTCAACAGTGACCGCACTTCCAATGTTCATTCATTCATTCATTCAGTCGCGTGTTCAGTGTGTGTGTGTGTGTGTGTGTGTGTGTGTGTGTGCGTTAGTATGTCAGAGAGGAGTATCAATAAAAAAATTTCCACTAATTATTTCGGTGTTTATTTCTTTTATTCTGATTTTTTTTATTAAAATGCGTAATATAGCCAACAATACTATTACCAAAAGTTAATCTAATTTATTATTGTAGAATGTATTTAGCAAATCACCACTTTCAACTGGAGACACAGTGCAGCAGCAGCGCAGCAGCAAAAAGAAAAAAAAAAAAAAAAGGAATTATAAAAAGCCGACAAATAGTGTTAATTAATTGACATGAGACACTGGAGATGATTGATTGTGACTGGTGTGGCTCATTTTGTAACTTTAAGGGCCCTATTTAGATGGTCTAAAACGCAAAGCGCCAGGCGTGCAGCGCATGGGCGTGTTGCAATCACTTGCACTTGTTAGACAGCACGTTTTCAGACTGTGCGCCATGGCGGAGAGTCTAAAAGGGTTGGACTTACTCTGTGAATTAGTCATGGGTGTGTTTTGGGCGTATCATTCAATAAGCCAATCAGAGTTTCACCTCTCATTCCCTTTAAAAGAGGCGCACGGTGGAGAGCTAGTTAGATGGCGGACCTACCAACTGGAAAGAGTGAGCGTTTTACAGCTGAGGAGACGATAAATGTATCTCTATATTGACTGTCCCATCACATCTGATGTCAGATCAAAGGGGATTGGCACCGTTTGGCACACGTAATGGAAACCCAACCTGATTTGATTAACACTGCTGCAATCTAATAAGTTCACATCCCTCTCAGCCAACCACAAACAGCCACAGCATCAGATAGGGAGTATATATTCAGCATCTGTCATTTTAGAAAAGTCAAAAGAAAAGAACCGAGTGAGACTGCGAGAGAGAAAGAGAGAGCGCGCGTGCACGAGAGAAACGCTGTCAACAAATTGTAAATTATTCAATTATTTTATTTTAACCCGGGAGGTTAGAGAGCCCATCTCCCTCTCCAGCATCCTGAACCCCCCCGCCTGAAGGTGCAGGAAGGGCTGGTCCCGTGGCTGCACCCGGGCCGTTTGGTCTGGCTGCGCGCTGGCTGCGGAGCTGGGGTCATTCTTCTCCTCCTCCTCCTCCTCCTCCTCCTCCTCCTGACAAGATGATCTTCAGTTTTACGTTCTAAAAGCTTTTTTTTACATATACATTTGTAGCCTACTTGTAGGGCTATAAGTTTACGTTTTTAGTTCACAGAAGCTGGTTATTGTTGTGTTTATGTCAAAATAAAGTTTATCAAACGTTTTCACATCTTTGATTTTGTGATTTACATGCCAAAATGATCACAATTCAATTGGGAAAGACAAGTTCATTTTACAGGCTATGCATCATCAGCCTATGGAGGTCTGATTGCAGTTCCGTATATTCGGACACTGCAGCTTGGACCTCCCGGATTATGATGATCATTATTAGTGCGATTAGATCATTCTGATTAATGACTGACCATTAAGACGTGTTTCTGATAAATATTTTAATGTGCACAATAATAACCTTTCACATTGTAATCATATTTTTATTTGTTATCTTTTGCATGTGTGGCTGCTCCGTGTGTGTCTGAGCAGAGTGCACGCGTGTTGTGCACCTGCCTAGAGACGCATATTACTAACTTGTTTAACAGCGCAATACGCCATTGACTTTAGACCAGGTTTTTGTTGGTCACTGGCACATTTGCTTTTTACGTCATCTAACTAGCAAAGCGCCATGACTGCGCCTGACCACTCCTCATTTTTAGACCAACACACCCAGAGAAGCGCAAGTTCATTTGCTAGTTAGACGACGAGGGCGCAGGGCGTGAAAATGACAACTGCGCCTGCATCTAAATAGCAATGACACTTGCGACATGGATTATGCGCCCTCCGCCATCTGTTTTAGACCATCTAAATAGGGCCCAAAGGCTTCAGAAAACATTCAAGACACATACAAAGTCATAGGAAGAGAAGCTTGTAGGTTATTTGCATTATAAAAAACATTGTGGCGGCTCTAGGACAAGTGCACTTACATTGATCACTTACATAAAATAAAACGAGAAATTGGAGAAGATTGAAAAAATTGTTAAAATTAAATTAGGGAACTGATCACAGATGTATTGTCTCTGTGTGTTTTTACATCTATTGTTGCTTTTAATTTGCAGCTATACTTTTAATGAAGCTGACATGTCATGACAGTCAAGAACCCCCCGGGATTCCGGGGTTATGGCAGCCAATCAGCGTTGAGCTGCAAGCAACAGGACCCAGCGAAATACCGCTCCAGATGAGATTTCTCATCTCAAGCGATGAGCGAAAAATCGCTTCGTCGCTGTCGCTCGGAGCCCGAGCGATTTTTCTCCTGGGCGAATATACGCTCCATCGCCCGGTTGCATTGACTTTGTATGTAAACTCGTTGCTAGCGAAAAAAAATATATAAATATAGGTTTAGGAATAGGTTTTGGTTCCAGAATAGCTGATCAGAATTAGTTCAATCATCTCTGAGTATGTTCAGCCTGAGGGAAGCGCGTTCGCAGTGAGCACCAAAAGCCATCATCAATGGAGCGCAGAAAACATGATTTTCATGAGGAAATTTTTATATGAAAAGTGTTCATAAATCATTACATAATGTATCCATATAGATTAATTTCTTATTAACACTGACAACCCTGCAGTCCTGTGGAATTCTTTGATGATCCTTTCTGATTTATGCCCAGGGCAAACCACAAAAATGGGCAAAATTCTTCAGAGCCAGAGTCACTTTTCTTACAGCCTGACAGACTGTTGCCTTGCTGATGTGTTTAGTGTCTCTGATGTTATAAAGAAAACTGACGTTGCCTTAGAATCAAAGGGCAATGCATACAATTTGCTGTGATGATAATGCAAATCAACGATGTGTAATATTTGATACATCTGGGTGAAACAGATAAATGATAGAGTGTGAGGTGAAATTGTATCTTTCATATAGACGTGAAGATGGGGTCTAATCACCATCTCCTGACACAACAGCCCCTGAATAAATTGTGCCTCAACGTCCACAACTTTATTCACAAAAGGACATGCCATGTCTCTCCTACCTGCTACATGCTCAGCAGGCGATCAGCCTCTAGATGAAGCAAACCTGCGAGCCAGCAGGTCTGTTAACAGAAACCTTAGAGGAGCACTGTGTAGGATTTAATGGCATGTCGTGGTGAGGAGTGCAAAGTGCAACCAGCTGAAACTTCTCCTGTGTGTCAAATGCGAACGTCTAGTTAGGATTCCGTCAGTGTTCATGTTCAGAGGTCTTCTCCAAAACAAAATGGCTAGGTGATTTAAACCAGTTAAAACTCCGAATTCAGCAGTTTCACGTCACAAGTCAGTGTTTCATCTACGCTGCTTGGCATGTTGCAGACAGCCTGCTCACCCATTGCCTGTTCTGTGTGCTCACCTTTTTTCTCCGATAACTCACCTTCTTTTGGTTTCACATGTTCAGGAGGTTTTACTGTGAGCTGAATTATCTGCAGAGGTCTTTTCCTCCCCAAAACAAATTGACCAGAGGCTGTATTCACAAATATTTTGAGAATACTCTCACAGGGCTCCTAACTTAGCCTAAAAATGTTTAGTATGGAGTCATGGTTTGGGACTGATTTAAGAAAGCTCTAGGAGCAACTCTAAGTAAGGAAGGGACAGAAACTTTCACCTTAATGAGGAGGTGTGGTTGACCCCGTTGCTAGGTATTATGCATTTTTTTTAACAGATATGTTTGGTTGTCACAGACACACCCTTTGTAAACCTGCAAGGTGTGGACACCCAGTGGAAATGAAATGAACTGCATCACAGCATGTGACTTTCGAAGTGTTGTCAGTGTTAGTGTGATCACTCTGCTGATGGGAGAATGAGACAGACTTAAGTCATCACTGCTGCACTCTTGCATTTTATTTTTTTTAATTGTCTTTGTGTTGTGATCACTTTATTTGTGGCATTATAGGATTATTGTGTTGGGTGGGAGATCTGAAAACATCTCTAATGAGATCGACCACAAACTTTAAACCTGCACCATCTAATCTGCAGCATTTCATTTACTCACTGTCATTCAGTGTTTGAAGAATATTTCTCCTACCTCTTGTCTTTCTGCCATTTTCTCCTCTGCTAAAAACACTCTTAAGCCTCTTTAAAGTCCTTCTCCCTGCTCCTAACATTTTTTCACCCTGAGGAGCTCTCTTATGGACTAAAAGGCTTTGTTAACACCTTTTATCTTTGCCTGGACCTTGTCTTAACTTTAAGGGGAAATTCTAAGAAAATGTCATAATTCTAAGAAAACTAGGAAGCTTTGTGAATATGGCCCAAGGTGATTTTAACTGGTAAAAACTGCTTGAATAAAGCAGTTTCATGTTTAAGAAAAACACAACTCAAAAAAACACATAAGGCACTCTCTAGAGCCAGTGTTTGGTTTGTCTGTTCTGGGCTACTGTAGAAACATGGTGGTACAACATGGCGATCTCTGTCTATGAGGACCTGCTCCCTATGTAGATATTAATGGCTTATTCTAAGATAACAAAAATGCAATTATTCTTATTTTCAGGTGATTATTCACTAAAGAAAACATACTTATTATATTCTATTTCTGCCAATATATTCCCCTAAATCTGACATACTGGACCTTCAATTACTGGTTTACTATTTCCATGACATCCAATTTTGTACCTCTATTAATGAAAGTTGAGTAGAACAACCATATTCACTTTTGAGTGTAGTTGATTGAACTAAATGAAAAATGTCAGTTCTAGTGTGCAGTCACAATATATGAATTAATATACTTAGCCACTGATTCACAACCTGAACCCATTTGTAACATATATAACAAAAAAATATATATGTTGCTACTCTGAAAACTGAAATTGAAGGTTGTTCTCTGAAAATTGTTTATGTGCACTCATGTCCTTTTTAAGTGAAAGTATTGGATTTCAATCTGTTTGAAATTTAGTTAAAGTGGGTTTTGTATGCATATCTTTACAATGCATTTGTTTGTGTGTTTTGATCAGCAAGGAGAGTGGAGTGCAGAAAAGGCCTTTCTGGATCAGCAAGTGTGTTTGTTACAGCAGCAGAGTCAGGAGAAGGTCAGCTGCCTGGAGGAAACCATTACCTCTTTACAGACAGAAAAACAGACACTGCAGGATGCAGTGGTATGCTCTGCTTCTTATTTTCAACTTGATTTTGATTTTAAAGACTTACTGTAATGTTTAATACTATGCTGTTACACTGAGAGACGTGGGTTAACGCATCAGTAGTTAATATAAATGTATGTGTTACAGTGTAGAGAGAGCACAGATACTTTCTCTTTCCTGTTCCTTGTGTACTAGGCTGATCTGGACAGGCAGAGGCACGAGGTAAACTCCACTCTGAGCCAGTGGACAGAGGAGCTGGAACAGTGCAGGGTAAGATCAACTACAGAGTGTTAATATTCTCCTCTGATATTCAGTGTTTTTATCGAGGAACATGTAATGGAAAAAAAATCCATCTGTTCCAATTATTCACGATCAAAGTCCGTCAGTGTATTGAGAAATAAAAAAATTGTTGCTCAGATATTAAACACATGCTCTCCTATATTTTATATACTTATAGTCTTCACATTATATGGCACAGCTTCACTGACAGCAATATTGCAAAGCCAAAAGCTACATATTTAGTACTGAAGCTGCCAGTACTGAACCAAAATTGTCGGATCCACTAGAAATATAGAGGTCTGAAGATTCAAAGGAGGCCATATTAATATAGGAAAGCAGAGTGTATTTGTAGTCCTCTCCTCTTGGTGTATTCCCTCAGGCAGAACTGAACAGTCGGCAGACAGTGAGCACGGAAATTGCCAAAGCTCTAGAAGAAACCAGACGACAGAAGGAGGAGCTGCAAACACAGGTCTGTAGGAAAAGACACAGCACACAATATTCACAACAATAGGAGGATAACAGCTAGAGATGTAACGGTATGAAAATTTCATATCACGGTTATAGTGACCAACGGTTATCATTATTATCGCTGTATTGTTGAAATGTGCTGATAATGTTCAGAAAGTACTTATACACATACTGAAATCATTTAACCAAGTTTTATTTCGAAAAACAAATAAAATAAAGAGCACTATGTAGTTTCTGTCTGACAGAAAGTCTAGCATGTTTGATTTTCTTTTTGTCATTCACGATTACTCCCATCACAGCCGTCACTTTGACCAATAGAAACACAGAAGGGCAACAACACCCCAGCCTTTTTAATATTTCCTTTAGGGATGTTACCACATAGAGTAAAAAGGAAACAGCAGAGGCACTTTGTCAACCTGCGGAGTACTGCCATTAGCATCAAGCTAGCAAACAATGTTATTTCTTCATAATGGAGATGGACATAAAGTAAGAAAATTAAAAAATAGTGGTGGGGCTTTTACTCACCACAACTGCAATTTTTATATTTATTAATCCCTCTGTGTTTTTATATTTTTACTCTTTATCCGCTCCCCTTGCCTTGATAAAGTTAATGCATCGCACTGTCATTTCAAACACAACACTTCCTGAATTTGTTTCAAATTAAAAGCCCCTTATAACCTTAGCTGAGAGAATCCCTCCATTTTCTAAATCGGCTTTTATTGTGAAACGTTTGTAGGAACTTGGTTGTGGAGGATTCAGTGACTTGTATGTTTGCATACAGTACTTCAAATGTAGCTCCTGCTGTCTGCTGGTGCTTTTTATGTTACTACAACAACATTTTGGCTGGCACTTGAACAGACACAGTGACTGAAATTATAGTAAAAGTAATAAAAATAGGACAAGAATAACCCAATGACATCACACACATCGTGAAAGATGACCGGGGATAATTGGTGTGTACCATCGTGTAGTGTGCCTGCCAAGTCTGTCGGCCAAGTCATGGCACTATTTTATGACTCCACAATCGTGTAATGTGACATAGTGACTTTCAGAACAGGCAGAAAAGTTGTGAAGTGTGAACCAGGCACAGGTACACTCGCTGTATAGTTGTGGGTGTTGGTCACGGAGATGGCTCATCAAATTTCAAGTGTTACCCCCCTCGCAGAGACTTTTTTTCTGCAGACAGGGTGACTATCTTCAATTAGTTTCCCCTCAGCATCCTTATAAAACCCAAAATACGTCCAGAATTCAGACTTTGTCCTTTTAGAGGGGGGAAAAAATCTCCAGAACACTGTCCGTGCGGGTGCCTTCAACCATGTTTTCAGAGGCCAAACATTGCAAACTGCGCGTGCGCGCCTGTGTCTTAGGGACTGCTGCTGCTTTTCCAGGCAATGAGCAGTATCACAGTGAATTTTTCGAAAGTGCGGTAATCAAACACGGTTTTAATGATAATTAAAATTTGAAACGGTAATACTAACCATTGGGAATTTTACTGCGGTTTATCATTTTACCGGTAATCTTTATAACAGCAAAGGGTCCCCCTTAAATGATGTAGCAGTCTCCCTCTGGACCAGATGCAAACACTTGTATTCCCGTGGAGGGACAGGAGAGTCATTAAGCAGCAGACTGTACCTTCATTTGATCACCCACAGATTATAAGACAATGTCAAAGAAATTCAGAGCTGGTTGTCCTCCTGCATATGAAATCATGTACTGTGTAATGAAAAGTGTTTGCCTTTGCTTGTTGTCAGGTTGGAGAGCTGACCACATCTCTACAGACCTCACAGCAGGAGCTGTCCAATGTCACTGAAAAGTTAGCACTGAAAGAAGAAGACATCAAAACACTCCAGAATGGTATGCACACACATTTCAAATTCTTTAAACAAATAGGTCCCTGTGCTTCAATTTTTTAATGATAAGTTCAAGTATTTCCTCCCCGTGTAACAGTTTTTCATTTCTTAAAATGGTAAACCAGGGTTGGACCAAATATCTGCTTACCATTTTATTACAAATCAGATGTGGTCCATACAGTGTGTGGTTCGCCACCATGACGAGAAATGTGATGTGATTAGTTTCTGATGGAGGCCTTGGTGAAGAGATTCCAAGTAAATATGCATTTTATTCTAAAGGTAAAATGACAGAAAAGAACAGAACGTGTGGAGAGATTTAATATGAAGGCTACATGACGGTCTTACTTTGCGGGCTGTTAACATCTTTGATCTAAAGGAGTGGTAGTGGCATTTGAGCCTTAACTGCAGTTACAAGCATTGCTAAAATCATGAGCTGTATTATTTAATATTTTGTATTTGGAATTTTTGAAATAAATACAAAGGTTGCAAATTTTCTTCAAAATTGTTGATTTTGTTCACCTACACTGCGTGATTTTTGGCAGGAAAAAAACGTGTGTTTGTGTGTGTTGCAGAGGTGCAGCAACGGCAGGCATCGCTGGTCCAGCTGCAGGAGGAGGTACAGCAACAGCAAGCCCAACTCGAACAGATGGAACTGGACAAAGACTCCCAGCTGAGCAGCCTGAGGGAGGAGCTGCTCAACCAAACACAGCAGCTGGATAGCTGCCAGGCACGGGTCAGTCAGAAAAACCTACATACATATATGCTCTTGTTTGGTACTTAGAATACTGATGCAGCAAGCACTATTAGTAAGCTTTTAGGGATTAAAGTCCAATCAGCGTTTCTCCTGTAATTGTTGTTTTGTTCAACTACTACCCAGAAGTCAACAAGTCACCAAACTTTCATCTCTATTGCATTTTCCGTCACAACAACTATATCCAGGGAAGACCAGTATTTCATATTTTACACTCATTCTTGAGAATTGGGACAAAACCTTACTCAAGGGGGGGGGGGGGGGGGGGGGAGGGGCAGGAGGCTGACCTGGCCTACGGGGTGATTTTTACTCTTCAATTAGGCAGGAAAATATATTTTTAAAGATCAAAGTCTTGACTATTAAACCTTGTACTGGGCCATGCTCCCAGTGACTTAATTTTTTCTTGAATAGCACATGATGGATGTCAGAGGCAAGATCTGACAGAGTTGGCGTTTTATGGAGTTGACAAAACGTTACATATTTATTTGTCAAAGTTGCTAAGAGTTCTCTTAATTCTAATCAAAATACTAATTTTTAAACCATGATTCTTATTTAGTTTGGATATAGAAGGGCCACAGAGTTGAGCTGTTATGGTTGAGACACACCTGTTAGCAATATTATTTAATGAATTTATCATAAAATAAAAGGCTTACCAGCACTTGGAAACCAGAAAGTGAGACAGGAGTCCTTGTGATATAGCTGACTCCTTTTATACCTGATTTTCTGATGGAGTCTGATGAGTTCTGGGACACATCTTAAAAGGGCCAACATTTTTACAAAAATATATATTTTAAAACAAAGAGGATTATAGCAAAACATTTTTACAATTATGGTGTCAGTACATACTGTTAGGTTTAGATTTTGAAGGCTTTGAACACATTTTTTAGGTATTTAAGTTGTAAATTCTTGTCTGGGACAAGGCTGTTTTCTGACGGTGGGAAAGTTAAGAAGTTAAAAAAATAAAAGCAGATTGAAATACTTTATAAATCCTAATTTTTTTCTTACATATAAATACAAGAAACAATATAAGTGTGTTGATAAGTTGTAGTTTTAAGGGTTTTTTGGCAGGACATGATTTATCCCAGTGGATATTTAACTAAAGTTTGACCTTAAAGAATTAAATAATTCTTGATAATGTCTTGTGTGTTGTACTTAGGGGTGGGCGATACGGCTGAAAAGTATATCACGATATAGCTGGTTCATATTGATTGATAACGATAATTATCGGTAATTTTTTTAATAACCTATTTGAAATAAGGACCAGGAGAAAATAAATAAATTTTAACACATTTATTTTAAACTCAATATCTTTCTTTTGATTTCAATCACAGTCATCAGTCAAGGCACACAGAGGTAAATATAATGTCAACACAACCATTAGAAAACACTCATATAAATGAACATACACAAGATGGTATAAAAACTACTACTCGACTGTTTCCTCGCAATCCGCACTCATTCTTGCTACTCACTCCACGCTGTGTTGTGTTCAGTGTTGCCAGATCTTGGGAGCGAAACAAGCAACCAGGACCAGCAACCAAAATTACTTTACAAATACATTATATTTACTGCCCTTGAACTCTACCAAACCAACTAGCCAACCAAAAAAGTGGAAAGAATAAATGAATGAATGAATGAAAATGAAAGTAAAGAAATTGCATATAACAAGCCATTTTACTTTCACTGTAACATTGCTGGTATGTTGGACAATATCTGAATGATATCCCACAAAATCTGAATCTGCATACTGCTTTTGTGTCATCCCCCTCTTGAAGTCTAATCTTTTAATCCTCTCCTCTCTTTCTACAAATCTTAATTGTATTCTTTCCATATTTCGCCCACTTGTTAGTGAAATAGTTAATCACTCAATTTAAATGTGAAAAGTCTCATTGACTGACCGTCACCTGTGTGTATGCGGAGAAGGAGAGGGGTGGAGGGAGCGGAGCTGTGGAAACATCCTGCAGTCTGACACACTATCATGCATTTAAATAACTTATTAGACAGATATATATAGAGAAAGGCAATGTTTAGAGAGCAAGCCCAAATAAGCAACTCCACTTTAGAAACAAGCCCAAAAAAACGCAACCCGCGACTACCAATATTTGTAAGCGACTTTACAAAAGAGCAAGCCCAAAGTCGCGGCTAATAAGCGGACCTTGTGTTCACACATGAGGATGGCGCGACCAAACCTGATGTTGTTAGCTGTTTGCGTGACACCGTTGCTAGGTTACCAGGGAGCGAGTGTGTTCGTGCAACCAACCTTGCACAGCCCGACTCCGAGGGTAACTTGCATGGCTTTCCTCGTGTTTTTTCCCCAACACAATATAGTAACATTATCGACGGCGCATAAGTGTTTATCGCGAGACGATATGTTATCGTTTTATCGCCCACCACCAGGCCAATGTTTTGCACACCTTCAGTGCTGTAATTATTTTTTGTTTTTTATGCATGTAATTATTCTTTTTTCTCTTTGTATGTGCCACCATCAGTTTGCTCTGATCTTATTTTTATATTGATTTACCATAGGACTTCAAATAAAAGTCGAGTCCCAATTAAACACTGAGCCATTCTTACTAGGCGGGTGCTTATTTACTGTTTTTTTTTTTGTTTTGTTTTTTTTTGTTACATAATTTTTTGGTGCTAAATGTAGTCTTTTTGTTGTTGGTAAATGTAGGTTATCAGTAAAAATCAAAACTTTTAAATTGCATTGTTAAAAATTTTTAAATATAGTATTGCCTACCAACTGAGCTTGTGCGCACTGCACGCTTGAGCGCATCCTTCTGAGGCTGTGGATCAATGCCAAGTTTTACCACTTTATCACTATTCCCTCTAACTTGTAGCTTAGGGTTACGGGTCGACCCATGCATCACTACTCAGCTCAGTCTATAAATGCTGTACACAACAGTAGACATTATGTTCTATTCAGGCCAGCAGAACCAGCAGCGCATAGGCTCTACAGTGCATGGCACTGCTGATTAACCTTTTTATTGCAGCACAGAGTGTCTACCAGCAACCAGTTACTTGCAGAGGCTTCCTACAACTTGTTTCAACGGTTCCGATTTAATCAGAAGACAAATTAAACAGGATGACTAGCCAATGTGAAAATCAAAAGAAAGCATAGAATAATGTACTGAAGGAGACTGTTGTGCCATCACATTTTTTTGTGGTTTGAGAGCAAAGATCTGGTCGCCGCTGTGCAACACTCCGCAATACAATTAGGTCCGAAAAAACCCCCCGGAGGAATGCTTTGCAAGGAGTCTTTGAAAGGAGCCGAGCCTGGCGTAAAACCGGAGAGAGCAGGCAGCACGGCCACAGCACCCCCCCCAAAATTTCATATCACGATATAGATCATTTCATATCCTGATAACGATACATATCACGATATAGCACATTTTAATCCAATGAATAAAAAGTTCCCCAAATGACGAAAAATATTGCCGTAAAAAGTGTAATTTGTGTCACAACGATATAAACGATAGAGCAAAATATGAAACGATAGACATTTTTATCTCTCGTCACTAGGGCTGTAGTCTTGTGGTCGACTAATCGATTATTTGGTCGCTATGCTCTCATCCGACCAAATTCTCATTAGTCGAAGAATCGCCGTGTTACTTTCATAAGGAGAAAATTGCTACATCAATAGCTTTCAAGGATTAATCCATTATTTCCTGTGGCGGGGGGACAGGCTAAGTTTCCTGTGAAAATGGGGGTGTTTTCAAAACACCCCTGTTGTTGACAGAAAGTTGGACTCGCCCACCATCACGATCAGCGTCGCGGTGACGCAGACCTCCTGCGTGTTTCTGTATACTACTCCGCTCGTCGCTAGGCTAATGTATACCATGTAAAATGCCATAGGCTGGCGCTAATAACGTTAGCATGTTGTATTTGCTTTGAAAACATGTTTAGTATAAGACAGTTGTTTTGTCGGTGAATGTTGTGAGTTGTAATGGAGCCACACTGAGTGCTGTTACCTTTGTTAGATGCTGCTGTTGTCCCTGGTTTTATATGAGAAGAGGAAAAGATCGCTAGACGCTAGGCTAGTTTATACAATGTAAAATGCCATAGGCTTGTGCTAATAACGTTAGCATGTTGTAATGGTGGGGGAAATGTGTTCAGATAAAGACAAGTGTTTGTCTGTCAGTTCTGCGACTTATAGTGAAGCCAATTTGCGTACTTGTGTTTGAAATAGTCCCTATTAAGCCATGTTTAATGTGTGTTTAATGAGAGTTTTGAATCAACTATATAAATAAAGTTTGATTTAAACTAAACTTTACAGAACTTAACACAGTCCTCCACCGCTGACTAGTGTTTTGGAGGTGTAACTGCAGAGTGACACAGACACAACACTGCAGAAGTAAAAATAATGTTCAGATTTTTTTCCCCACGACTACAGCCCTACTCGTCACCCGATATATATCGTCATATTGCACAGCCCTAGCTACACATGGTTAGCTTGGATAGATTCTCCACAATTTAATCATTCAGTTCATTTTACTGAAAACATGAGCACCATAGTATAATTAATTTAGATGTATTAACATGGTAAAAATAAATAAAATAAAATAAAAAGAGGTGACTCCCTACCTTTGAAGCAGCCATTAATTCTAAATATGCATCTGTTCCTTAATTATTTATAATTCTTTAGTCTGTAAGGATCTGCTGATCAAAAGAATCAAAAGAGTTTATTATGAAAATTAATCCAAGTCGTGAATATTGTCGAGTGAAATCAATTGTTTACTGTATGCTAACTTTGTTCGTCAAACAGTATTTTCTCTTCTTACTGCACTGTGTTGTTGGGTATGCTTTATACTTGTTTAAATAAACATGTTGATAATATATTTCCATTTGCTCACCCACAGTTTTGTGCTAAAGGAACTAAACACCCGTCTCAAATTTAGACTGGTTGAGTTCAGTGATTGAAGTAAATAGAAGCCTGGGCTTTTAATTTTAAGTTTAATGGTATTCTGATAGTCTCATGTCTTATAATCTTTTTTCTGCTACTGCTTCTCCAAAGAGGCAACTGTCACTAATGTAACATGGATTAATGATCAGTGTGGTCTGATGTGTGCTGCCCAGATCTCATACCTGGAGGTTGAGGTGGAAACCTTGACAGAGCAGCTTCACAGCCCTGAAGTGTGTGAGGAGGATCAGAACGGCAGTGTGACAGTGGATGATCTGGATCACATTCAGAAGGTCAACAGAGAGCTGGAGCAGCAGCTCAGTGACAAGAACAGGGTCAGATAACTTTATCCTCCCATTCTGTTCTTCTGGCTTTGAATAAAACATTAATTTCTGCTGAAAGCAGATGCATTCTGCAGATACATACATAGCAGCAGTTACACCTATCAACACACATAAAACACACTGACATTGTTTTGCAGACCATCAAGCAGCTGCAGCAGAGACTGGCAGAACTAAAGAGGACTCTGCAGAAGGAACTGGTGAGACACACTCTTTTTTTTCCGACAATATGTCTGCAAGCTAAACATTTGTTGGTAAAGGAGCTACTCCACCCTGTTCGTCTCACTTAAGCAAAACATCATGAAGCTGTGGGATCCGGGGTACAGCTGTTAATTACATGTACCAAAGAATCTTTATCAACACATTTTCAAAGTGAAGTCGCTATACTGAATCATCATTGTCACTGATCAGATCAGCAGCTTTTAGACTTGCCGACTTGCTGATGGTAGACGTCTCTAGGACAGAAATCTGCAACTCACACCAAAACCATTTAGATTGATAAAAAGCACCACAGGTGAGAGAAAAATGTGTATTTTAAATATTGGGCTAAAATGTCCCTTTAAACCAGATGACAAAGAAGTATGGATGCCATTCTCCAGATTACACTCGGCAACTCACAACAAAACTATCTTGATTGATATTAATAGCACTAACTACAGGTAAGAGAAGAAATATGTATTTTTGATTTTGGGCTCAACTGCGCCTTTAAGTGTAATGTCAAGCAAAAGCTGCTATGAATGCAAATTCTCAGCAAGTGCAGTGACACCAGCTGAAGTAATTCCAGCATAAATACAATGTAAATGTTGCATGTGACTCACTGACATTGAAAAATAGGTCTGACAGGTAGAAACTTCAAATAAAGAACTTTGCCATGGGTGCCTCAATGAAGTACTGAGTTAAGGGCCGGAATACTTCAGTTTCTCTTTCGAATCATTTTTCAGGAAATATTAGAATTTAGGGTAGATTATTGAAGGAAACAATGCATTTAAATGATTGAAGATCAAGGCTCCTTTCTTAATGCAGTGAGTGTTTATTAGTTAGTTATTAACGTTTCATTCTTTGTGCTCTGTAGAAGCTCAAGTCTGAGCCAGAAGCTGAAGGGAAGGAGAAGGTTCCAGAAAACCGAACAGAAAAACAAGAGAAGGTTTGTCCGGACCCCCCACCTGCATCCATGCAGAGCCCCCCCACCTCCAGCACCACAGTAACCAACACCTCAGACCTCAACGACTCAAGAGAAATCAACTTTGAGTATCTCAAACACGTTGTGCTCAAATTTATGTCATCCAGAGAGGCTGAGGTAAGTCCTCCATGCTAATTATAGCAATTAATTCAACAGGCTAAAATAAGTTTTGCCTAGTATTGAGTGACTAAATTATTAGCCCTGGTTCTGTTACAAGCCCAGTCTGAACGTGTGTGTCTCACTCTGTCAGGCATACCAGCTAATACGAGCTGTATCTGTGCTGCTGAATTTCACTCGTGAGGAAGAGGATATGTTGAAACAAACTCTGGAGTACAAGGTTGGTATTCAGTGTTGAACTTCAAACAGACCACTGCTCTAATACCCCTTTTTGACAGTCATGGGCTGTTTTGGCTTGGTTTGGTTTGGTTTGGGTCATCAGCCCAGCTCGGCAGTGATTTGTATTTCCATTACAACAGGGTTACCTGCTTGAAGGTGTGTCTTCAATTGATGACGTTTAAAAGCATTGGGCTGATCTACGGTTATTTTTGCTGGATGTGTTCTTTCACAGCAGGGCAGGTTAAAGAAGTTTACCTGTTAGAGATGAGCTGTTTGCAGAGGTGCAGTGAGAGCCTGTTGTCTGCAGCTCTTTATCTAACATCTCACTGTGGCTGTTTGTGCTTTTACTCCCTGCGGTATCATTAGACTTGCCTTTATTGAAGAAAAGCTGCACAAGTTCCACAAATTCAGACATTTCATTACCTATAGATTCTTCACGATAAAAGTCCCATTATTTTGTAATATAAAAACTTTTATTGTGAAGCAGCAAAATAAGGAAATGTTGAGTTTTCGAGCAGCAACTTCACACGACTTCTATTACGGCTGATAGCTGAACGTGAAACAGTAAAGTAAAGCAGATATCTAAAGTAAAAACAGGATACAGGAAAGAAACTAAACTCCAAACAGCAGAGATTCAGTTAGAAGCTACAAAATCACTGAGAGCTGACTTTTAAAAACGCCTTTCTCTCTGGTCTCCTGCAGACAGGTGAGTAGAATCTTGCAACACACAGGCTTGTTTGAGGGGGAAAAACAGGGTTGTTGGAGGTTGGCTGCGGTTGGTGAGGCATCACCGCTACCCACTTGAAGGAGGGTGGTCGGCTTTTGGACCTACTCTGGAGAAGGTCCGTCCCTGGTGCAGCTTCCCGTGGCTAGGCATCTCTAAATTGATAATGGAAACGCAAATCGGCATGGCTTGGCTTGACTCAGCACGGCCAAAAGTGACAGTGGAAAAGGTCCATAAGACAATATTTTACAATATACAATATACAATATTTCAGTAGAAATTTGAAAGACCACCAAGGCTTTGTGCCTGAAACCTAACAGGGTGGAAAAGTCTCAAACATCTACTAAGTGACACTTGGAATTAGTGGTGCAATTATCGAACCTGAGAGGAATGATTGGTCAAGATCGAGATATTTTCGTCTTAACACCATTGCTCATAATGGGCATTAGGCAAGAAACACTCGTTTGAAAAGATTTGTTCTTAAGGGGTACACACACACATGTAATGCACAGGTAAAAAACAATACCAGCCGTCACAATGACATTGCAGATCGTAAAAAATACACTGTGATGGTTTGGCGCAGCACCTGCATCAGTGCAGACAATGTGCCACACTGTAGTGGTGAAGAGAGAGCTGAGCCAGAAGGCATAGCTTTCGATTTACCAGCCTGTGCACAAGGAGGTCTTATAAGATAGTTTAGGGATGGCGATTATGCTAATTATCACATTTCACAAACATGCACGTCTTTATGAACAGGTGACATGCATCAAATTAAAACACAGGGCAGTTAAAATAGTTTGGTTAATCCAACTAGGATCCCTCATATGAGCAAACCTAGCTTCTTGTATTCTGCCCAGAGTTTCTTTGGAATACGACATTATGTTAATTCTTTGGACAATGATACAATATTTGTGGATATTACAAAGTGTGCCACGATATGATTTTGTTTTGATTCAGTGCAGGGGCCTGTGTTTGATATGAGACATGTTAAGCTATTTTTATCGTAACTTAGTCTGTGATTCGGTCTATACAAAATGAAATAAGAAAATGAAGGAGAGAAAAAAAAAAGTGACCTCTCAGCTCATCCCCTCAAACTGTCATTTTCAAGTGGCCATTAAGCTCTAAAACTCTGTGTTCAAACGTCACACTAGCCTAAGCTTTGCTAAGTCAGTCAGTCAGTCTGCTGACTGACTGCTGTGTCTTGTGTTCTAGATGTCCTGGTTTGGATCCAAGCCTTCTCCAAAGGGTGCCATCCGCCCTTCAATCTCAGGCACCTCGACTCACTGGAGTTGATGAGCAGCAGAAAGAGTTAAAGCAATGGAACCAATGGACCACCTCCAGGAGGAAGAAGTCCTTCTGCTGTGGCTCCCATCATTGAGGAGAACTCTAGCTTTAAACCTTGAACAGCCTTCCACAGTTTTCTCTGGCTCTGTGTGGGAAGGACTGTTTTCTGCTAGTTGGGACAGAGAAGGGCTGCACAGTATGTTCATAATCAGCTGCTGATTTTTAAATGACATTATTTCCTTGTCAGCAGGCAGATGGTAGGTAGACCATATGTTATACAGGGCAAACTGAAACACATCATCACACTTGAGGTAATGTCTTATTTTTCCTTCCTGACACAACACAGATTTGATGTTTTCTATTTTGTGAAAACAGTAGGAGGTGAGTGAACATGTCAGAAAATGAGACACATCAGAGAGAAATAACAGACTGACCTGACTGTTGTCTTAGGAGCTGCCTCATCTTTACCCAAATTCAAACCACACAAGTCCTATTTGTTTTTGTGGGAACAAAAACAATGTAACTTGGTGTGCCTGTCTTCACTGGACAGATGGTGCAGCCTTTGTTTGCTGAAGGACCTTTTAGCCTGTCACTTGGTTAATCTGTTATTTGAAATCTCAGAGGTCATTTAATGATCACTACAGGTTACCGAAGCTGAACTGGCTTCACTATCAGTATCAGCGAGAGTTTAGTTAACAGTACCTACCAGATGGACATAAATTGTTGATATTTGTGTCAAAGGATCTAAATTTGTCTACATGTACAGTTTGAGGCCCTTTTTCTGAGTTTGTCCTTAAAAATGTCATCACCCATTTTCTTAAATGGTACAGCAGTAAATGAGTTTCATCTGTGTTCTAATGGCCAAAGAATGCACATAGTATAAGACTACTTTATAAAGCTCCTTGAACGATCAGGGAATCCAGGCTGGATTTCTGTCCCCCAAAATCCAAAATGTCCTTAAGAAATGAGAATGCTGACATTTTATCCTTTGTGATGGGTGATTTTTGATTAGTCACGATGAACTGTGTTGCATTTTAAATCCAAATTAAGTTCAGTGTGGATCTTTTATTGGAACTTCCTTGCTCTCATTTCTTGTTAAAATGACATTTTCATCACATTTCTTTACACACCATCACAGAAATCACCACCATGATGGTCTGAGCTAAAGCCCAACTGGTACTAATTTTTTAAGGTCAATACTAGTGTTACAGTATAGTAAATACATAGAAAAAATATCTGTTAACAATATGTCGGCCT